TTTCGAATTAAAATTTTGTTTGTCTTTCTTCGTTCTTCAAAAAAAAAAAAATTATTTGATATTTCCAATTGAATGGGAGTGTTCGATAATTAATTTATTGTCTATTGTTTTAATGTATTTTTTGCATTTCATATATCAGCGTGGGTTTTATTATGAAATGATAATACCTATCGTTTACAAAACAATGAAGTAGTAATGTATGGAAGAAAAAAAATTGTGATAAAGAATATAAATTATCAGACAGATTGCAATGAACTAACTCTTAAGCAATCTTTACATATTGCAATAATCCATCACTTTGATTAGTTTCTTTCATTTTTCTTTGTTTTTGAGATATACATAATTTCCATTCGATTCTTATGAATTTACTTCCAATCACTTTAAAATCTTTCTTTTATCAGACTGATAAATTAGAACAATGGCTGTCTTCTGATAATTATCATTTATGTGAGTTTTTGCGAAAAAACAGTGTGAAATTTTAAAAGAAATGGTAACTTAAATGCACAAAATTTTGAATTATTTTTTTACTGTAATAAAAGTAGTTTGAAAAATCAATATGTTTTCAATTTCGATACTTTTGTAACTGTAACAAGTGATTTTACTACTATTAATAATTCTAACATTAATGATAATAATAAATAATAATAAATAATGAATAATAAATAATAGTAATAAACAATAATAATAATTAATAATAATAATAATAATAATAATAATAATAATAAATAATAATAATAACGATAATGATAATGAAAAATAGTGCGAAAAAATTGTCTTATCACCTAAGCTAATATTTTAGTTTTTTTTCAATAATGATTTTTTCTCAATGAATGTATATTCATTGTAACATATATTCCTTTTACCGAAATAATTTTCCGAAAATTTCTAAGTCATTTCTGTTATCAGTTTTTTCATTATTTCCGGATGGATATCGTGAAATAATGAATTTCCATATTTTATAATTAGTCTAATCCTAACAGATAAAAGATGATAGTTAAAAAACATTGACATATCAAACTTTCAAAAACGATATTTCTATATTACTTCTTTTTTGTTATTTAATCTTTTAGTTAAATAAATATAAATCGAAGATTATATGAAATTTTGTTGCAATAAAAATAAAAGAAATAATTCAAAATTTTATTTATTTAAGTTGCCATTTCTTAATTTCTATTTCAATATATTTAACTTTTTAAGATTAACAAATTAAACGAAAATAACTCAAAGTTGCATAACAAAATTTGATTCACATATGTAATAATAACGAGTTAGGTGCTGTTATTTCTCCTTTTTTGTTCAACTTCTTCCATTTAGCCTTTTTTAGGCCATTTTAATCTGATATATTTTTGCTTAGTTTACGAGTCACTGTGCTTTGAACTAAACCTTTAGTGATGCAAAGATCCATAGTTCAAACATGAATGCTTACAATATTCTCTTTTTTGGTCATAACATCTTCAGAGCACTTTAGATGAAATTCACAAGCATAGACTGTAACTTTCAAATTGAACATTTCCGAATTTATGCCATCTGATAATAATTGAAACATTTTCGAATGCATTCAATGTCATCTCGGATACGTTAAAGTTTTCAAACTTACAAATAGAGAAGTCCCTAGCATTTAAAATGAATACGAACAAACTTCTTTCGCTAACAAACTTCTTTCTCGAACCATTTTGACCATTGCTGATGACCACTTTGATTAGAAAATGAACGCTTTCTAAATTTATTTTAAGCGAAAATATTTCTTCGGTTAGCCAAAGTGGTCATCAACAAAATTGGCTGAAGCTAAAGTGATTCATAAGAAGGCTTTCAATAATTCGAAACGAAGTAAAGCTATGGAGTTAATTGCGAACAATTAACTGCATATTCCCTTGATGATGACGTATATGTTAACCATCTTTGATCTTAACATCCTATCAATGTCATTTCTATCTTTTCTTCTTTGAAGAGAATGGTTAAGGCTTTAGCTATATCGTTGGCAATGAAATTTGATCTTTTCCTCTGTCACTAAAAATTGAATAAATTAAATTTTCTCAGTAAATGAATTATCTTCCCTTTTCTATTTCAGCCTGTTGAGGCCTTTTTTTTCCTTTCATTTTTAATAAGAATTAGATGAAAGAAAAAAGAAAACTTCTTCTTTTAGAGAAATTAAGATATAAATGTGTAAATAAATACCCGATTAGTAGAAAGATGATATGCGGAAAGAGAAAGAGAAAGAAAAATATACTCATAGAAATAAATAATGAATTGGTAAAAGTGAATCTCTCGGAGAAGCATACAGGCTGTCAAGATGTTGCTGATATTTAGTTTCTCTCATACTGTGCTTTCCATATCCATCACATCGGTTTTTACTTCATCGACTACTGATATTAGAAGGTTGAGGATTTAAAGATCCCCGAAGGTTTGAAAATTTGAAAGTTTAGAGGTTAAAGATTTGGAGGTGACGATTTTCTGGGATATAAATGGATCATAGCTTCTATAATTAGAGCTAATTGTTTCGGTTTTTTCCCCTATCTTTCAATTATTCCATTGTTGTTCTTCATATTCTACCATATGTTTCAGTTTCTGTGCATCCCTTCCCTTCAACTTTATCTTATAATCTCATGTAAGCTTATGTTTGTTATTCATCAATTACTTATCAAACGCTTTCTCGTATGGGACAACGTAAATATCAATCAGTTTCCGGAAATTGCATTATCGGTGTCAAATGAATGACCACGTCAACAATTTGTTTTCAATAAATTTAGAAATTTCATCAATTTCAGAATTGAATTCAAAATTTTTAAAGCTCTTTTTTTAAGTCGTGAAAATTTGCAATCAATTTTCTTTTTTAAAATCGATGAATAGATCCATGAAAATGGTTGCTAATAGTGTTTAACTGTTATTCGAGACTACATTTTATTTCATAGCTTATTTTTTAGATAAATTTGTTTCATCAGTTAACTTCACCAAAGTACTTCTGAAAAAATTTTTGCACACTTAATCTAACATTCAATTAATAAATTGTTGTTTAATGATTTTATCTCTAAGAAATTATCGTAAAATAACTGACTTGTCAATAATACTTATTGCCAGTCTTCTTTTTTTATAGAATGACCAATTAGCTGTTCTCCACAACTTGTTCACATGAATTGTGTTGCAACTTTAAAAATATTTTGGGAATGTAATTAGTTTAAAAAAAAGATATATTTAGCTCATTTCACTGGCTACTTCGGTATCGTTTGATAAGGTCATGTAATTATTATCATTTCAATGACTATAATAATCATTAATGATTTTATCATTTTATCAAGCGATGCGATAGATGAAGAGGAATAATTTGAATGATGAAATAATTGATGACAATAAAGTGAGGAATATTGGATGAATAAAGTATTTTTCCTAATTCAAAATATTAATCATTCGAAAATTTCATGAATTTTTCATTTTATGATATATTTTTTATCTGATTTGTGTCACACTTCCACTTTCACTATAGTTTAATGAATATTTGTTATATGAAATTTCATTTCAAAAACACAAAAATTTAGAAAAAATTGAAAAAAAATAAGTGGAAGAATTATTTGCCTCTGTGTATCATCACAGTTGTTTAGAATTATAATAAATTTCTGACCTATTTCAAGTCATTCTCATAAATATTCATTAGTTTCACTTTTGCAATTTGTCAGTATTCACAATGATTAGATGCACAATCTTGTTAACAAATATTTCAGGGAGAATGGATAAAAAAAGTTATCTCGTTCCTTCAAATTCTAAGTTCTAATTTCAAATTTGAGTTTCAGGTCTAAAGTCAAGAAAATTGAAATTACAATGAAGTGTTATATACAGCATTAAACTTTTCTCTTTACTCTTGCAGTCTTTCTTCCTTCCTTTTCATTATTCTTCATATTTTCATCGCACACTAATTTTAAATCCTCTTGACAAACTTTATCAGAATAGTAAGTAATATCATCTGTTTGATCAAAAAAATGCTATGGGATGATAAGATGACAGATATTCCCATTTCATGAATTAATAATGAATTGTTAATTTGAATTTATTTATCAGGAAAAATTCGCTGTGATATTAAATTGAATAATTTTCAACGGTTAGATTTGAACAATAATCATTCATTTATTCGTTAACATTTTTTATGAAATAAATGAAATGTGAATTTCATCTCACTTCGTTAATGATAGATATATTTTAAGATATACCATTCTCAATTAAGAGACATAATCAAACTAATTAACAACTTTATAGATACTGACATCCAACTACAACAACTGTTATCAGTTACATCACCTGTCCCTTCTTCGGCTAAGAACATTTTCTCAATTAAAAGAAAAAAAATTTGTGCTAAGGAAATTATATGATGTACTAATCAAATTAAAAAATTTAATCTATACTTTTACTTTAGTTGAAATTATCCTATCGAACAGGTACTACTATTACTCTAATGAAATTTATTTCTGCATTCCTGTTCGACCGCTTGAGATTTTCATTATTCTTAATTCATTTCATTAGGCGTATTTTTTTAATTAAATCATTGTTTTCATTTGCTTATATGAATTTTTGTCTAAAATAGTTATCGGTAGAAACAGTAAATAAGAGCAAATGCTTATATGAAATTATTGACGAAGAGGAATAGGGAAGAGAGTAAACATTGAAAATAACTACATAGACGTAGATAAGCTATCTATCTTACTGATTATGAAATTGAATGGCATTATGAGATCATCTTCAGTCTATCACACATTTCATTGTTATCGCAATATTCGCTGATGAAATTTGTTCACACTTATTGAATTTTTCCTTCATTAGATGATGATGCATTAATTTGAAATTACCAATTTGATAATCCTTTAATGGAAGTATTTTCAAATACTTAAATGATTCAGTTGTCAACGTTATCACTACGAGGGTGATTATTTCAGAGTAAACAATAGAAAGTGATATTGTTTGAAGAGCAAGCATATGGTTTGGCTAGCAGGGATGTCATTAATATTATCAACGTTTGTATGCTGCTTTTAATCACAATATCCGTTCTCTTCATTTACACTGTTGTATTGATTGGCTTCTTCATGGGATGGTGTACTCTGATACCAATGATGTTTCATCCAAGAAAGGAAATTCCATTTTGCGCCGTGAAATCACCAAGACGAAACACTAAATATGGCGATGTTGAATCTACTATTTCTAGTTCGTCAGTTTTTAACTTATTGCTTTAATATTTGAGATTTCAACAATTTTGGTTAATTTGAATTAGTTTACTTTAAATGTATGATTCAGATTATAAATTTCGTATCCATAAAATTTTAATATTTTTAGATTGTCAATAGAATGTACGCATCGAATTTTTGAATCAACAGAAAAACTGGACAGGAGGTATTCATCATATGACGTTCAATCACCGTTAAGCGATTATCTCCATCCCAAATATTCATTGCCTCCAATAAAAATTGATTTTGATTCAGAGCAGGTAATTTCAATAATTGCATTTAATTTTGAATTTAAATTTGAATCATATTTGTTTGTTAATTTTAACTTTTTTCAGATGTATTTTAAGCAGTATTTACGTACGCCTGCTCATTTATCTGTGAAGAAAATATCAGTACCAAAATCAGTTCCAGGAAGCAAATCACTGCAATCAGCATCAGTTGCTCAATATGAAACTGTTATTGTATAGAATCATTTCTTTTATTCTCTCTCTCTCTCTCTTTTCACGTCTTTATTTTTTAATTTCTTTTTGCAAAAAATTAAATGCCAAAAAATTAAAAAAATTAGTGAAATTATCTTCTATTAAGTATAGAGAAAAAACTGAGCGTTTTTTGTTCCGACGCTCTTGTGACAAACAGAGTTCATGAACATAAGTATAAGTAGTAAGGAGATGTTGTTAAAAGTTTTACTATATTTGTTATTATCGTTTTCAACTGGTTATCAAGAATAAACGATATTAGTCAGAATTTGTTTATTTGCTATATTAGTAACTATAAAGTTAAAGTTGAAGTTCTAATAACTTAATAATTGAAGTGCTACATTTCATTTTACATTGCAAGAATTTTATAACAGTGAAATAATTTGAATTAATGGCAAATGATGTGATGTAAAGAATTTTTCAATAGCAAACATTCAATTTCTTTCTTCTTCCGTGTAATTAATAAAATTATTTGTTCTTTTTATTTTTAAAATTTTTTTGATTTCTTTGAAACTCATCTCTCAACAGATCAGCTGTTCCAACTCATTTCATTTAACATAATGAACTTTGTATCTATGAAAGATTTTAAATGCGGGAATTGTACCAATTATGCGCATATTGTTAGGTTGTTTTTTATGTGAAAATCTATTTGTAAATTTTGAAGTGCTAACAGGGAGTTTCTCAGAAGGAATGATAGTAAATGTAAGCAAAATACATCAGGTATTCTTGTTTTCATTGTTCTCATTCAACTTCAGAATGAGATATTGTGCAATATTGCAAAACAGAAATTGTTGTGATACTAAGAATAGAAGCAAATTTAATTATTGGAATTGTTTTTGCTCAAAATGTACTATATATTAATTGTAAAGTGTATTTTCAATCTTATTTGTTTATAAATGTGATCATCAATTTCATCATTTCCAAATTATGATTATATAAAGCAAATATCATAATGTGTTAGTGAAAAGACTGATTCATTTATTATCAATGCTCCTTTATCTGAAAAATGAATTCGACAAGTTCATCACTTCCCTAATGCATGCACATCAAGCCCTTTTGCATCGTGCAAATGAAAAGCTTTCCGATTTGTCCGCTTTTTTTTAAAAAAAATCTAAAACGTTTGATAAAATTTAATTTCTAATCTCTCTCGAAATGATTAAGTGGGATTATTGCTCTGCCAAAAATGAAAATTAGGAGAAATCGCAATCATCTGAAATGGAAACTGAGATCGGTGTCATTAATGATGTAATATGTCTATATAGACACGAATTTCATGAAATGATGCATATATCTTCTGGGAAATTACAGACAGTATTTTTTGTAACAGTGATTGAGGATAATGTGGTCACTGTGAAGAAATAATAGTGAAATTTACTTTGATTATGCAAGTTGGGCTTATTATCATTGAAAATAACTTCAGCAACAAATGAATTCATGGAGCAAATATTATCAAATTAAGTTTTTATAAAATTTGTGATTGGTTATAAATGAATTTGTGAGTAACGTTGCGAGTAAAATTTGTGAGTAAAATGTTTGAACAAAGAAGAAATTTTCTACTAATTGAATAGGAAAGACTCCTATTAAGTATAATCATTTAATAATGATACATATTGAAATGATAAGTGATATCTCTTGGTCATTCTGAGTTTTTGCATTCTGATGCAAGGGCTGCATTTTTTTTAGAATCTTTATCCCATCTAACTTTATGGAAAACTTCCTTCCTGATGGTATTAATGAAGAAAACTTATTGTTTGGCAGTTTGATTTCTGATTTCACGCATAGCTTACTTGAAGATTAGTGTCAAACTTCTTGCATTTGTATTTCAAATCGTTAAAATTAGATTGCAATATTTTGTATAATCCTTTACATTGTAATTATTCATTCACTGCGAAGGGCGTTTTTGTCCTGTTAAAAATTCTATTTCAAACGATTGTTGTAGAATTGTATGTTTAATAGGAAAATACCAAGTATAGCTTGAATTCCGCAACAAAATTTTGCATATCAAGAACATTAAAAAATCTGAAGCCAATGCAAACATTAGCTGCATGGTTTTTCTTTTTTTAAGACTAAGAAGTTTAGACAACTCGAAAATAATAGTACTGGCACTTCTACATAAAGTATTTTTGGTTCTTATTTCATACGATGATTTTGATTGCTAAAGCATTTGAATTCATTTATTCATAAGCTTTAAAACAAACAACGGAAATTAGCAGACATATCCAATCTATCATGCCATATTTTGATCTATTTGGTTGCTTCCGTTTGTGTTACATCACTTCTCGGTTTATTGTGATCTTTTTGAACTGATGAATTGACATCCTATTCAATAAAATTAGCATCTTCAATTCTTTTACAGCAAATTTTTTGATATTTGCCAGATAAACTACGAAATAATAAAGGACTATGAGTATCCTCGGGTGTCCTTTTATTTGCAGATCAAAATTACTTTTGTTTTCGTTTTCGTTTTACCGCCGTTTCAGTCATGCAATTCCGAGTTCAAAAAATTTGAGATGATCGATACTATTATCATTGGAAGAATTCCCAACACCTATATTCATACTAGACCTTGTCCTTTCATCACCTGAGTATTCCTTGCGTTAATAGTTGGGTTATGGCATTTGTGATGTACTACCGGAATATCTTAAGAGAAATTAAAATATATTTTCCCTTTATCGCTCCCTTAGATGATAATGAGACAGAAAAACGGTACTTCATTGCCTTTGATAGGTTCTTCATATTGCTTCTTTTGCAACCTTTCTGTAATTCTCGATCCCGATTGCTGTCTCTGTATACTTTTCTTTGACATTCTATGTCTCTTTGAACCACTTTGTGTTGGTCCTTCTTTATTATCTTCTTTACACTGTTCACTTTTTCGTTTAGTTTTCTAAAAATAATTTTGCTATTTGTTCGGCCATTATTCTATTCTTTGTTATTCGTTGCTAATTGTTTGGATAATTTGGAAAGAAAACGGAAAGATAAAGGTCGTACAATATAACATTATACAGTATTATGTCAACGAAGTTTTAGGAATACTGAATTAAGGAGGCAGAAAAGACAGATTATTCAATTTATACAATTAGATATCCAATTTAATCTTGGATGGCTTTTACATCGTAAAATTTGGTCTTTAGAAATTACGTTTATTGTGCTATCATGCATTGATGAAATCGGATTGCCACGTTCGTGCTTATTTGAAAAATGAACTAGAGTATGTTCCCTTCAGACTTACTTTTATTTACCGGGGATAAAAGTAAGTTACGATAAAAGTAAGTTACGCATTGATGAAATCGGATCGTCACGTTCGTGCTTATTTGAAAAATGAACTAGAGTATGTTTCCTTTAAACTTACTTTTATTTACCTGGGATGACGGTCAAATCATATCCTTTGCAAAAGTATCGAGGAGATCAAGCAGAAAAGCGGAAATATACATAATATTCTTATATCATATAAGAATATGTAGAGGATTGTTGTTTCAACGATAACCTGAAGAACATCCATGGAAACTAGTTTTGGTGTTGCATTCGTTGTTATTGGTGCTTCGTTTCCGCCACCGATGTCATCAAATTGTATATCAAAATCAACATCCACTTCTTGCTGCTGTTTCCCGGACAAGTCTAATTTGAACCTTCGTACCTTTAACTTCCATTTTTTCATATTTTATCATTTTTTAAAAACAAAAAATTCCTTTCGCTTTAATTTAATATCGACCCACTGACTTCATATTGATCTTTCACTTCCTCAAACTATTTGCTATTTTTTTATTATAATTATTCAAATTTTTTAATTTACTTCAGGCATGGAAACAATTTTCGAAGCTTTTGTTAAATTTTTTCCTTCACTCTTTCGCGAGGCACACATTATCACTACCCAAACCATTACTGTTATCACAATCACCACTTGCAACAACTGAAAAAAGTCGAAAAGAAAATTTAATCTGGTTAAATACAATTTTCGACAATCAATTTTCAAGTTAAGAACAGATATTTTAACATCTAAATCTGTTGTTAAATTGTGGCAAACAACTTAATAAGTGCCGAAATCATTTGAAGAATATTTTTTTCATCATGGCTTATTTTCGATTGATCAATAAATCGATAAATAAGCATAAATTCTAATTTGGAAAATCAATTATTCCAAATAAAATGTTTGGCTAAAATTTGAACTAATGAACACAAACTTTCCATTTTCTCATTTGTTGAAAAAAAATCTTGTTTCAGCTACCTGTGAGTAAATGTAAATGCCAGACGATTCTTGTTTATGCCATGAATCTAACATTGCATTTCCTTCAACTACTACTCACCACAAACAATTTCCTAAGCAATAGTCAAGTGGTGGTTGTTTGGAAACTTATTATGTTTTCTTAAGAATGGACTTTCAAACTAATAATTCATTCATTCATCCGTCTATGCATATGAAAATTTTCTATTTTTTTCTTCAACAAAACTTAAGATTAAATATTGAGCTTATCATTAGTTAAGAGAGTAATATTGTTATTATCGCAAATGATATAATATTGTAGCGATCTTCAGAATTTCATTTACTTTTTTAGCATTGCAACTTCATTTAAAATCTTTTTACCTAATCATTCATTGTTTACAATTATTTGATAAAACACTGATGATTGAAAGTGCTACTGTTATATTAACAACAACCTTCGAGTTGGATAACACAACATTTTATGTGTCCATTTTTGCTCGAAATCGAGATATATTAAAATAAGTAGCCGAACGGTTCTCTTATTTGTTCCCGTAAAGTTTAGGAAGTTCTCACTCTAATAAACTTGTAAATCAAATTATGTAGAAGAATGTGAACTGCATTGTTATTGCATACTTGCATTCCATTTCGATCGCTTATGAATGTAACGGCAATCAAACTATATTGGCAATTATTCTTACAGAAGGTCTGCACAATGATTTATAAATTTGAAAATTCAATTTGCTCTCTGATCCACGTTATATCTAAGTGGTATAGTAGTCAGCTTAGTTAGTCTGAATATCTCTTGCAATAAATTCAACAAACATAACGATAACATCTGTATGCATGCAACTGGTCTGAATGACATAAAATATTATTAGAAAGTTTGCGTCTCTTCTATGAATCAAATTGGAAAATATACATAATAATTTGTAAGGAAAATACTTTTAAAGCAAAAATTTTGGAGCTTATTTTCATTTTAATCAACAAGAAATCTTTAACATTCATTACTGTGAAATATCTCTCAAATTTATCAAAAAAAGTGAAAATTAGTAAAAAGAAAATGCTAACAACTTTAAAAATCTTCATTGAGAAAATATCATATATTCTGGCAATATCAATACTGAAGTTAATTTGATATCTCGAATCTTACAACAACAGAATCATCGCATGCATTTCAATCGACATCATTTACGCCTCCATTGAATTCATTTTCAGTTTGTGATTTCCGCGATAAAGAAATGCACATGTTAAAATATTGATGTTATATAGCAGTTGTTCGATTGTTTCTGATTTGATTGCATCTCACTTACATTTACAGTTGCAGTATATTCTAGCATGGAAGCATAGCATCAAATATACTATTGAATGAAATTTATAATAATAATGAGATTTCGAGGCATCACAACAATATTCACAAATGACTAAATGCTACCGCCGAATAATTCATTGTTCAAGCAAAATAACAAGTTCTTTTATTTATGACAGAAATGCAGAGAAAAAAATTGAGAAATTGTCAGAATGATTTCATGGCATCATCAAGAAAAAACTGAGAAATTGTCAAAATGGTTTCATCACTTCACGATTCTAAAATACTTATTTATAATTAAAGTCGCTATCGAGCAATTTGTTTTCAGATGATTTTAAATGAAAATTAATAAAGATGACCATTAAATTAAGTGATACCGAGAACTCAACTCAATTTATTAATTATAAAAATGAGCCATTTTCACGGTTCACAACTACTACACGTGAAGTTTTCTAGATCTGCTATTATTATACGATCCCAAGGAAGTATATGTGACGCATTTTAGGCATAATTAATGTCAGTGTCACAGTCGTTATCAGTGTTGCAGTTATCCTTATCATCGCGAAATGAACCGTTTCGACACTCTACAAACTTCCGTCGTGTCCTTTACACACAATGTTCCTTATTCCGTCCATCATTGTGAAATACACACACATCCGTGACACATGCTTACTTATCCAAACATCGATTAGTGATTCGATGGTTTACGTTTAATAGGCCCCTAATCTTTGCTATTATTTTGCGTATTATTTCTTTTTTGCTTTCAACTTTTTTTCGATTTTCTGCAATTTTTCTTTAAAAATGCATCAAATTTACAAAACATTCAAACACTGAAATTGAGGAAGTTTTAAAATTTGCATTGCGATGTACTAAATTTCTGTGGGAATCAATTACATGTACTATTTTAAATATAACGCATTGTATGAAATTGTTGTTGGTAGGAGAGATAATAATTGTATCGAATTCAATATGCATTACTTTGATGCAGTCTGAGCATTCTACGATGCATTCAATGTGTTCTTATGTTTTTCTAAAATTTCGTGATCGTCTATACAGTGCTCCAACCTAACTCTATTCCATATCTTTTCAAGGAGTAGAAGTTGAAAGTGTAAGATGAAACTAAAAAATTTTATCAGTACATCAGTAGTTGCTGACCTTTTGAAGGTATGTTATATTTGAAGCAATCAAAAACTTGATAAATAATGAATATTTAAGTAATAAATATTTCTCATAATAATTGAAAGCTTAAAAATTATTACATTATTTGTGTGCAGATTTAACCGTGCAGAAGATTGTTTATTAATGGGTTTAATTTCAGAAAGGTGGCTTCAAAAATGGTAGTGGTTATCGATTATTGGATTGTGGGGGAGACTTTCAACCACAAAATCATCAAGACTTCATGAAAACTAAGTATGGAAGATTCGAGAAAATGATGAACATGAATACGAAGTACGATTTTGTTGTAGAACTAGTTAAATCATAGGTTATATTGTTCATGTAATATTTAACCAAATTTGTGGTTTTAGGCAGTATTGCGACTATTTGGAAAAGCATATCCCTCAAGCAGTTCACATGGATCTCAACATAGCTACCTATCCCGGCGTTTATGAACCGTATGCTATGTATCCACCAGAAATTTTCCAGAAATATGCCTGCTTATTAGGTATCAATCGATTGGATCACATCGTCTTATATGGCAGGCAACACATTGGTGGCATGATGTTTCCCTGTCGCATTTCTTGGCTATTTAAGGTCTGAGTCAGAGCGAACCTGAGGATTCACAACGGTTTAAAAACAATAATCCGTAAACTGCATTCTTCTAGGTCTATACTATAACCATTGTCATTATTATTATTAATTATTATTATTTACCTATCACTACTAATTATTATTATTAATTATTATTATTATTGATTGTTATCATTACTAATTATTATTATTAATTATTAATTATTATTATTATCAATTATTATTATTACTGTTATTATTATTATTAATAATTATTATTGTCATTAATTATTATTAAATATTATTATTATTATTAATTATTAATCATTAATTATTAATTATTAATTATTATTATTAATTTATTATTATTATTATTATTATCAATAATAATTGTTATTATCAATTATTGGTTACTATTTTACTAACACTGACTATTGTTATTATTAATTGCTTTTTTAACTAATCTCATCCATGTTATATTATTACGACTTTTATGTTTTCATGACACGAGTTCTCCATGGCTTCTGCGTTTTCAGTTCCAGCCTTTTTTTTGCAGTACTATGGCCATGAAGCTGTTTCTGTCGTAGATGGCGGCTTAACAGCTTGGGAAAAGGATGACGGTGAAATTACTGGAGAAGTGCCAAAAGTCACTGTAATTATAATTTGCTGTAGTAAAATAAATATTGAATTCCATTAAAGTGAAACTTATCTATCATTAGATGCTAAAGAAATACAGAAAACGATTTCATTTTTATAGTGAAAAACTGCTAATAACATATCTGTAATGAAATATATTTAAAGCGAATTCACAAGGAAGGTGAAATTCCAATGTTACATTTAAAGCCAGGTAATTGGACAGCAAAGCTTTGTCCGGATTATATTGTAACGTATGAACAGCTTATTGAGAAGGATTCCAATGCGTTGAACATATTTGATAAAATTGACCAGGTAAGTCATCTAGGTTTTAAAAGAATTAATAACAAAAAAGTCAATTTTAATATTATTTCTACCATGAGGAGCACAATTTTTATCTGATTTTGGATGTTATAGGTAGATATATCACAATGATTAGACAGACAGTTTATAACAACGCCATGATATCTTTAACACACATTCAGCATTGGAAGATCAAATACGCTTGTGAGAATACAGTTTATTCCTTTTGTTAATTGATGCGCAGAAAATTGTTTCTTTAAAAATTTCGACTTTAGATAAATTTTTTCGACACGCGTCCAAGAGATCAGTTTGAGGGAAAAGCTGATACCACACTCGATCCAAAAAGTTTGTATTTCTCTGTTTTTTTTAAGTCCGACTGATTTAAAATTTTATTTACAAGTGAACTATTTCAATCAAGCGTCGAGTGAAGTAAAATACTTCCTTTATTCATTTTTATGTTCTAAAATAAATTTTAATGAATTATTCGAACTTCAAGAGATGCGCGGTTCACATGTGCCGGGGACAAAGTGTGCACCGGTAGTAGAAATGATCAATGAAGAGGGTCGTTTAAAAGATCCGGAGAAGCTTAAAAGCTGTAAGTAAATCTGATTATTCATAGTTCTAGAAGCAATTTATCTGAAAAGGAAAATATCTCATTAAAGTTACTTTACCTTGGAAAACAAACCCACCAGCAATATGCAAATTTCAATTTCATCTCATTCATAAATGTCGAGTATTACTCAAAACCACTTTCAGGGTTACAGAAATGCGGTTTCAAACAAGAACTTCCAATCATCTCACAGTGTTCGCGTGGAGTACAGGCCTGCTTATTGAATTTAGTCATCGAAGATTTGTTTCCATCTGTATGTCCACGGGTCTATCATGGATCATGCTTTGAACTACAAGCCCGTGACCCAAAACGAATATCTGAATAGTTATTCCAAATCAAAAACAATGTTTTAAATATAAAATGAAGATAGCCATTAAATCGTTTTATCGCTTATATCGTTTTGCTTTAAAAAGAATACCTTGGAATTTCCATGTGCAACTAGATTAAAGCTGATGGTTTCAATGATTAACAGAAATAAAGCAGAATAGCTCTAATATAACTCACTCGACAAATTGAGGGATATCAAAGTGCGCATGTCAACTTAAAAAATATACCTAAGCGATATATGCAATCAACACTGTTATATGTGTTGACACATGCAAGATCACTCCCTTTACGTTCCAAGTTCAAGCCAACAACTTAGACTGTTCATTCAAGTTTTAAGGCTGTTTATCCGATACAGAATTTTCGTAATGCATGTTTTGTGGTAATATACAATGTTTCTTTAACATCGACATTGATCAATTTCAACGGTTTATCATCGCAAAAAGAGCGAAAATGATGAATAAGTGATGTCATGATAACAAATATTTGAAAAAACAATTTAGATAAAAAAGAATCACTGAAGCTCGTCAATAATTTCGAATCGAATACCATATCTCCCTAGACGACCATAAATCCCGGTGTTTTTGAATGCAGCCGCTGATGTGTATACACCACTGTAAGATGGTTTGGTTTCGCTCAATTACATCAAAAATTCAAGGAAGTCTTAGAAATGTCATATTTAATAAAGTATAGATAGGTCAAAAACAATTCACATAGTACATACTAATTAATGTCTGAACTTCAAATTCTTTACATGAAATTCCATCCTTTGATAAATTTTAAAATAATCAATTCAAAGGAGAAAAACTTCAGCAGCGTTACAGTATCACATTACTGTACCCGTCTGCATAATACGCTGTGTAACATGAAAATCGAGATATTCTTTTGTTTCAAAATCTATTTGACAGTGACCATTCTTCACTTCATACTTAAAAAACCAACCCTTGTGGTAGTTTATCGTCATCATTGAGCAGCGACAATGCAGCAGCTAAAACGCAAGCCGAAGTGGAAACGTATCCGGCGTCTGGACCCACACAACGAGCTACGATCTGAAGAAAATCATATAACCACTCGTTAACCGTTCGAAAATTCTCAGTTTATCTCCAACACATCGAATCTATTAAATAACAAAAAATTTATATTTTTCTGCACAGATACACAAACCAAATCGATGCCACAGAACAAGTATAAATTAGCCAAACATTGTTCAATTAATTCAGTGAAGTCTAGATTACCTGTTTAGTTGGTTTAACCTTATATTCATCCAAAGAGCTGTGTTTTTCTGTCCAACCAGTACCAAAGAATAAGTAAATGAACGATGCTTGTTTAACCTGAAAATTAAAAAAATTTGATAATATTCTTATATAATTTCTCTTTTCACGAACGACGTGATCACTCACTAAACTACTATGGAAGTAAGTGCATGTCATAATAAATAACTACTTTGTTAATATGATTTCCGAACAATTTTTTTGCAAAAGCTAATAATAAATTCAATATTAAAAATCATGTTTGGAAATTGATTTTTCCTGTTCAGCGGTAGGTCCTGAATCCTTGAACATTCCAAAACTGCATAATCCTGGATATGCCAGCAAAAAATCTTTCATAAATGAAATTTTAGCAGCGGCAGAAAAAACCACAAGCCACAGAGAAAGTAGACAAGCCCAAATAAATGATTTGACTCGAATGAATGTTTCCACTTGAACCTGAAATATCTTAATACAGCATAAGCTAGATATTGTGCTACAGTGAATTGCAGCATTTTATGTTGTGGCGAAAAAATTTTGCAAAGTCCAGAAGACTAACAATTAAGCAGCAATTGTCAATGTATTTTTCACTGCGTCAGTTACATTTTTTGATTATCTACAAAAGTGGAGGATAGAGAATAGATACGAATGTGAAGACAACTTGTTTGCCCATGGATGTACTGCTCCATGTGTGTGTATGTATTACCATCTCGACAATTAATGTTTTTGAGTGTATAAATTAATGCTTATCTGAGCAACACATCCCATATTTAATACTAATCTGAATAAATAGCAACCTGTATAAGTCAATTAAGAAGTTTTCGTCGAACAAACTTTATTAATAAACATTTTCAGTATCACACTGTACAAAATCGATAGTGTTTTTTTTTTAATTTCACATATCCAAAAGGCAACACTAAAGAGAAAAAAGGAAAACAAGACGAATTAAAAAAGGATTGAAAATTTTCTAAAAACGACAAGTCTCTGGAAAAAAATACGCAAAGAAGTCAAATTTCTTTCATTCTATGTTATTCATTTCATGCACTATAATTTCCACTTCCACTATAATTTTTCGTTATCGTAAAGATCTTTAAAATATAAAAAGATAAGCCTAAGTGATAAAATGACCATTCTCCCTCTTGTTTTTCAATCATCTGATAATAAAAACTGATGGTAGTTCTACGTTTTTGCGAATAGTAAAAACAATTTAAAGTTTTCGGTAATTTATTTTCATTGAACAGAAGATACCTTTCACTAATGTACATGCACGCCCTTTCTCTCACTCAAATCACCCTTTTCTATCCTACAGCAAAGGAACAAAGTACTTAGATGATAAAAAGCAACACATCTCAGCAAATAAAAAAAATAATTGTCCTTTACAAGCTTGAAAGTATTTTTGTTTAAACAAAGAAAATGGAAAACAAAAAAAAAGGTATTTTTTCTATATCCTTCAATCGATGAAGGTCGATCAGAATTATCATTTTGCCTTACTACAACAAAAAATCAAATCAAAAACCGCTTTTGAAGAATGCATGCTCCAGAAAAATCTTTTTCCTCAATATTGCTGCATTAACTATGTTCAGTACTCATTCCCAAGTGAAGCATATTTCAACAACAAAAATTAGTAATTTATGTTTTGAGTCAGCAAATTTCTAAGGACATGAGCATCTAATGTATAGAAGAAAAAACCCTTGCAGCAATGAAAAGTAAATTTTTGATAGCTTGCTTACCAAAGATATTGCACACACGCATAATTTACTTTCGTGTTGCGTCAAGGATGTGATTTCATTCAAAATTAAGCATTAAATGGACGCTTTGAATTCATCATGCTCGAAGAATTTGTCCTGAGAATCATGAAAAATGATACCAAACGATCAGGAAAAAAAAAATGAAAAAAAAATCAACTTACTGGTAAAACATTGTGGATCTTGTAATCAAAATATTGAGATCGGGTAACGACACTTTTGTCTGATCCGTAAAATGGAAGGCACCACCCGTCAATTTTGTCATTGAACCAAAAAGTACCCCTGGAAAATAAATATAATCAAAATAGACATCAGCCAGAAAATACTATCTCGCTTCGGTTTTTGACATTTGCTAAATTCGCAAACCTTTTCGGTGCTCGGAACGAGCTTTTTGGCAATCGTTCTGGCATAATACTTCGTCTTATTTTACCCAAGCCATCAGTCATCATGTTTGCCATGCCCAAAACTAAAGTCCGGTATGTGCCCGCATTGAAAGAATAACCCTAAAAAGCTTAGTCCGTAAATTGTAATAAAATGCATACACTTGCGCAAACGACTCTAATTTTTAAATGAATATTCTATGCATAGATATTGTGATTCTTATACTATTTCCCTACAAAACTTTATCGTGACTTTCCTCAAAAAAAATCTTAATCATGGAAATCTTAATCAAAAAAAAACCTTAATCAAAAATTTTAATCAAAATCTTAATCTTAATCATGCAAACAGTAAGATGTATATTTAGGCTTCCATAAAACAATGATCACCAAAAGTTAATAGGTAATAAGTCAAAATGCAAAAAAAGATAAAGACATACACTATTTCAAAAAAAGTGAAACGAAAGGTCAAGTTCTAACAATACTATTAATTTTTTATCATTTTCCACCATTCGAAGGCAAGCAACACGTAAAATTTGAATGTATGACATCATACCGCAGGTCCTGTATTTAATTGCACGAACGTTTCCACATGATTCAGCTGACCGTTAAATTTCTCCTTCAGAAAATTAATGCCCAAATCACATGGAATGCTATCCCAACCACATGCACCAACCACATACAAACCATTTTTTTGAGCAATATCACCATATTTCATTTGCATCGATTCCAAGAACTACAAAATAAGTTTGCATTTACAATAGTCAGTTAAATAAATGAAAAATATTTGCAACAACATGCAATTACGAAAACATTACCGCAGGTTCTCCCGAAATATCTACATAGCTAGCACCATTTTCCACAGCAACCTTTACAACTGCTTCTCCATACAATCGATACTGCAACAAGAGAAAATTAAGTTCCATTACTTAAAATAAAGCATAAAATAACGAGGGAAGCTCGAGGTGTATTGAATGACTACGCTGAAGTTTTTATCATTTATTTCAAAAAGTTACGAAGTTAGGAAAATATAAGCAACTTACAGGCCCCACAACATTTATTATGACTTTTGCTTGCTTCGCCATTGCTGATAGTGTAGATTCATCGTAACTGTTGGCAATAAGTATGGAAACATTTTGTAGATCTCTGCCTAAAGGTTTTCATCACTTCATGTACCAAAGACTTTCATGCTTACTCACAATACAAAAAAACGTTCTTACTTTTCTCGTTCTATTTTTACTTTTTTCTCTTTTCATCTGAAAAAGGCAACAATTCCAGCACATTTAATGCACCGTTTTTAATTTAAAATCGACAAAATTTTTTTAGAAAATCAACGAACTTCTACTTTTCTCAATTAAAGCAGAAAATTTTCATAAAATGACTTACCCAATTCTTGGCCTATACTCTCGAGCAGTTTCCTTAACCGAGCTTCACTTCGTCCAGCAATAGCAAAGCTTATATTTTGCTGTTTCTGTTCTTCAACCAACAATCGAAGAACATAGGCCCCCGTGAAACCACTAGCACCATATAACACAATATCGTAACGTGACATTCTCTATGCCTGCAAAAAAAGACAATTTTCTGAAAGAGCCACCAAACTGAACCAAAAATGAAATGATTACAAAACATTTGATCATTGGTTTTATCAGTCCTCCTCAGCAACTCTTATCAGCGAGTAAATTTTTTCCACATTCGTAAAGACTAAAGTTCAAAGTGATTGCTGTGCACTAAACAAGGCGAATCTTAATGAAAAGGCTTAGAACAGGTTTATTACGGTCTTGCTGAACTAATTAACTTCTCTTCAGCAAATGAAATGAGATATTTCTCCATGAGTAAATCCTAACAGTAGTTACGGACCTCATTTCCATTACAGTGTAAGAGGATGGTGAAATTAATGCATTAATGAAAAAACGAAACGCTTTGCGGACCAATTCAGCTCAATGTATAATAACGGAATCAATCAATAAAGCTACATCGGTTGGAAAGAATGATTCAAAATGACCCCTCTCCCCTCTGAAATAAGTCAGCAATGAGAAAAGAAAAGCGAAGGGAATTTACGATTGCGAGATCACATTCGTACTTTCCTTTTTCATCAAAATCGATGATAAAAAAGCTAGCAAACACATCATTTAATAATGCGCTGATAAAAAAAATCATTTAGGTGAGCAAAAATTGAATCCTTCACAGAATGCAATCACGTATAAAAACCCGAAACACAACCCTCTCACGTTTCTCATTTCACAAATGACATTTCAATGATGTAACAAGTATTGATATGATTTTCATACTGTACTAATGTTATGTGCAAACAAATGCGCTGTTTCAAAATTGCAACACTTTTATTTTCATTAAGAAAATCAAACTTCAATGAAAAATGTATATAAACAATTAAACAAAAATTATAAACATTATCTGAAAAAGTTCAAAATAATAGATCCTTTTTTAGTTGGAATTATGAAAAGTTAAAACATAGGTAAACAACTTTAAAAAAAAGGTATTTTAGAGCTGTATGTACAATGTGATAGAAAATTCGTAAAATTTAGGTCTAATATTACCTAGAAGTATTCATTATAAATAAATGAATGTATGATACACAGACATACAAGGAAATATCGCTCTTTGAAAGGAAATTAACAAGCTGGTATCGCCAGCTCTCAATTAAAACACACTAGCAAAGAAATGTGAATTATACTGAATACATTATGAATGACGAAAGAATAACTTGTTTCCGTTTAAAAAAGTTGTGATAAAAAATGTATATGATTAATACGAGAGCCAATAAGAAAGCTATTCACGAGTCCAATTAAAGTGAATATTTTGAGAAAAAAAGAAAAAACTAAGTTTCAATTATGAGTAACAAAAGTAATATGAAGGCCGTGAACAATTTTCCCCGCTTTATTACAACTTTCTAATTATAGGCAAATAATATAGACTTACATAGCGCTGAGACTAATCAGTGATAGGCGATGAACTACTCCACCTTCTCGATTTTTATCTTACTGACATGAGTTAAATTTAAATCGGAAAACAAAAAGTTGCCGAGTACGGAAATAACTCTGTAAGCCGCTATAAATTAATGACCAGTCGAAAAATAGGAAACAAAATTAGGGAGAACGAGGCAGCAAACCGTACTTTGCAAAACAAATATATATGCTTTTAGCCTTTTTCGGCCAAGACTCGAAAGATGTAAATATTCTAAAAACTTATACAGTAATACTGGATATAGTTTTTCTCAAACTTGTGCTCTAACTAAACAAGTTAATGAAAAAAGCCATCGATGAATATAAAAACTGCAAGATATTCGATTAAAGCAAAATGTCAAAATTACATAATTATTGGTACAGCAAACTTATACATTAAGGCAATACACATACATTAGATATCTCACAATGATTGATCAGAACGTATCTATTGCATACGCTCGTCATCTAACAAAAAATTCCAAAAAACTTGGGAAAAGTCACAAACCAGTATGCTTCTTTGTGCTACCTCCTACATGGAGAGAGGATAAAGAGCTAAACCAATAAAGTTTCCACTCCAATTCATAAATGCTAGCTCGAAAACAAATCAAAAATATAACATCTCATCCTGCAAAACAGGATATGTAGAATAAAACCAGCTGATATCGAACAGTAAAATGACAATGAACAAATTAATGAAAAATGAATGCATAACAAAGCCGTCCCCAATTTTATTGCTGCAAACGCATGAAAAATGGAAATGTGGGTACGGTTGCTAAAGTTTGGAGAGGCGGAAATTTGAAAAGATAAAATAAAGTGAAACCTCAGATCAGACATATAGTGGTTATAAAAGATGAGAACAGCCTATTAAAGAATTATAGTCATGAAAGAGATGAAGTTGGGGAAAGATTAAGTACGTCCAATTTGAAATACATTCTCACACTTAAAGCAAAAGATAAATTCGACGACAGAGTGAAACACGTAATGCAATAGGCATAGCTAATGAGGAACTGATCTTATACAAATTTGCACGATTTTTTACACAAACGGTATATTGTGTAAAAAGAATTTCTGGAACGAAAAAGAGCGAATGATACACCAAATTACGTTAAAAGCTCATATCAAACTATTTATCGAATGGCATTATGCAAAATATATATAACATTCAATACAAATGCATTCAGTATCCAGCACTTTCTCAGTTAAGCAAACGCACTTTTTCAAAATTTGCGAGATCCTAAATTTGGCCAATTTGCGATCGTTCTCCACAATAATTTCTATATTTTCGACAAAAGTAATAGAAATAAAAAAAAATGAAGAATTTTGCACTAACATGCTAAATTGTGAATGCAGAATTAAAATGATCTAAGCAAATGTTGTGCAGAGAAGCAAAAGGAATAGTAAGAAGTGATATAAGCCTGCAGTATTATGCTTCGTCATACTAACAACGTATAAAAACCTCACCCAAAAAATCAGTGTGATCTTTGAAGAAGTGAAAAGGAAAGCATTCTGGGTGATAGCAACATAATCGTAGTTAGCCATTTAGTCTCGTCTTTTTACCATAAAGACTTTTCTACAGGCTTAACGAATAAACTTGTGAAAGAACAAAAGCTCAAAGCTATTAAAGGATGTTTAACGAGAAAAACATAACAACAGGATAAATGAGAAACGAAAGCATATCCAAACTTAATTTCAAATTAACGAGAACGAAAAATAAAATTCTCTGAAATTCACTTATAGAAATTTCCCAAAATTTTGACCATGTAGAAAGAAAAACGAATATGATAAATCTGATTTCAAACACAACAAAAAATGCAAGTCGAAGCATCGGTATGCAGTAGTAGCCTGTGCTGCGTATCATGCGTGCTTAAAAACTGCATGCAAAAATAAACATTTTTCCATGAAAAAATTTTCCACAAAAAATTGTTTTTTCAAGGAAATCCATGCAGCACACCTACTTATCCCTCATCACTTACGCCGATTCTTCGAACGAGATCTTAACAACCTGCAAATCAATGTACAATAGCGGAGATGTAATAAGCGGGGAACAGAGTAACGACACAAGTTTATAATAAATGAAGACTATAAAAAATGTATACTGGACAATATTTATTCCGACAGAACAATAAATGAGCTCATGCGCTGAAAATTGGAGCCAAATACAATGAACTTTAGAAACTTCAGAAAAAAGCTTTAGAAATGAGAAAGATCAGTATAATCCATCAATATAATCAATTTCCAAAAAGCACGTATATAGTACCTCATAAATAATTTAGGCCTGAGAGACTAACTGATTGTTCAGATGACATGAAGGCAAGTGAAACATATTCATTATTTCCGCTCGCGTGAGATTGCAGTTTGTGAGCGGGTTGTAATTCTCATCTTCCCAAGCACACAACATTCCCAAATAATCGTCGACGAATGCAGATGAATCTGTCGAATCCGAATTGTTCCAGATGCTTTCCGCACTGAACAAGTCGTTGTTGTTCGTTAAGGTAAATAAGTTATCATTATCACGTTTTTCCGAACCCTAAATTTACTCATTTTTAATAATATACCCAATTCATACTGTAGCGCTAAATTCTGAATAAAATTTTTCATATTTTAGAATCTTAAGGAAAGAAAAAAAGGAAGAGAAATTTACAATGCCTTTAGTTGACTGTCTGATTATCAAATGCCATTTTCAAATTTACAGGGAGCAAATTTCCTTTATTCGACGTGTCGTGAAGAGTTATTTAATCATAATATGGAGAAAGAATAGACACTGATGATTAAACGTAGCAATCAGAAGCTAGAAGTGTTTATGCCAATTCATGCTTTGCTGTGGTACTTCCTCTCTCTATTTTTTCTTTCTTCCTCTTCCCTCCTCTTATCTTTCTAACTTACACATCAAGTCCTAAAGCTTCTCTATTTAATGAAAAACTATTTTATCAAATACCATCCAATAATGCCGTTTAAATAAAGGAGAAAGTCATCTAAATTTTGAATGGTATATCACAGTCTCTTTGCTTCATATATCAGCTATTTTTATGCCAGAATTATTGAACATTTCAACACTTATCAACTAGTTTTGTCAGGAAATTATAAAGACTTCGTATAAGTAAACAAATATGTCTTTTTTAGTATATGAAGTCTCACTGCAAAATAAAATTTGTTAAAAAACAATGGACGAAAAAGTAATTTTCATTTTTTAAAAAGAATTCACTGTACCGATTTATTTTCCAATATAAGTTAATCATAAGCGTAGCCCATAACAATGATTGCAAACCCACTTAAGCGAAATTTCAAAAGAAACATGAATGAACAATATTTTACCTGCATCGGATCCTTACTTGTATTAACCAGGGTACCCCATGGCCAATCATAATCCAGATGCTGATTACATGGATTATTGTCGCTGCTCATATTACAGTTGAAATCTGAGATCGGTTGTTTCCAGTTTCCTTCTCCAAATTCACTCGTTTCCAGCATTTCCACATTATTATCGATTATCACATTTTCTCTCTCTCTCAGACTGTCGCACACAAAAACGTCACATGCATCAAGATCTCGCTATAAGTAACAAATTTTTAGTGATGGATAGTGATTCCAACTTAATACTGAAACCTTTTTGAATAGTTGCTTCAAGCCGAAGCAGCTATTCAAAACGAAACCTGAACTGAGTGAAGCAAAACATCGTATCTAACCAAATAATTGCAAATCGTTCCCTACCTGGAATTTTCCCCCGAATATTGAATATCAAAAAACACCATATAAATCGCATAGAAAAATGAACCTGCAGAGATTTCATCATATTGTAGATAAGAAGTGGCTTGCGCAACGATATTCCAACGTTCGACGCGTTCATCGTCTGAATTTTAGAGATCGAAAGGTCAAGAATCGCCTGCCGGCGTTCATTTAAACTAACCGACTCGTTCATAAATAGTAAAGCTGCGCTGAAAAAGAGCTCGGTGAATATATGAATAGCTAAAACGACTATTTCGATCCATCCAAATTCATAAATTTGAAAGAAATCATCAAAACTGGAAAAAATTGAAACCTTGCATCAAAACTGGAGGATCCATCAGAATGGATGGACGAATTGTCCGAGTAGTTATCTTCCGAGTCCATTTCAAATACAGGCTCATCCACACTGTAAACAAAAAAAAGCATGACTGAATATCAGTCAGAGTTCCTAGATTCGGGTAATTCACCTATTCGTGGCAACCAAGAACGCACAATGTTCCTTTCTTATAAACAAAGTTCGAAAAAGCCGTCTTTCCATTTCGAGCAAAACTTGAAACAGATGAATCAGGACTGCTCCAATTCGATAAACGGCTGTCAATGGCTTATGAAAGAAGCGTTGTTACCGGATGAAGAGACTGAGCCGACAAAAGTGTCATTATTCAAAAAGGATACTGAAATCCACCGACTGATACGCCGTTCACCACGTCACACGTAACGATTAAAATTAGCTTACTAATATCAACAATAGCATTGGAAATGAATATCATATGCTCCCATTTTGCTTATCAATCACATCATTTATCTCTTTCTCTCTACCTATTATAATTCAAAAGTGCATCAGGGGACCGACCGCAAGGCTTAACAAATAATACGAACATCCTCAATTACTATTTCAGGTATACAGAAACGATTTTTCACGAACATGTTTGCCGGCACTGCGATATTCTTCCTTCCATACACAAAAATATAAATTCTTTTACAGCAAGTATATGGATAGAGAAATGAATGATAAGAAAGGCAATTAGTGATAAACAACAGAAAGAGGTTGCGCGAATGATAATAAGCGATGAAAGACAGCTGTTGGTGATTAAGACAAGAGAGAACTGAACAACAAGAATAGGAAGTTAAATGGGTGAAGGATGGGAAAGAGATGTGTATGTGTGTGTGTGTGTGTGTGTGTGTGTATGTGTGTGCGTGTGTGTGCGTGTGTGTGTGTGAATGGTGTGTATGCGTATGCGTATGTGTATGTGTATGTATGTGTTCATCCTCCCATTCGTAAATTAACCTACAATTTTAATGGATTTCGTTAAAAGGAGTTATGGCGTGAGTCGAATTTCCACCTTTTGCAATGTTGTTCTCACTTAGAAAAGTACTATTTACTATTTTTATGACGCGATATGACGAAATGAATGTACGTATTTCAGTAACGATAACATCTAATGGAATATAATAAACAATTGAATGCAATATCGTTGTAGGTTGCCAGCTGCTGTGTGCTTACATGTAACCTTGTCTATAATATCGTATCGATTGTTGATATATAATGTGAAGACTGAGAGAGATTTTGAAAGGACAGTATCTTCGATTCAAAAAGAAGACACTTGTAACCCAATTCAAGTCAAATCCTTAATTCTGTCCTATTTAAGCGAACCTCTCTCTGAACGATGCATATACCAAGTTAAAATCGAAATGCATAATCTGCTTTAGGAGATTTGTGAGCGCAATGTTACTGTCTCTATAGAAACGTATGAAGAGATTTGATCAACTGAGCACTGCTTCCTACATCACCTCAATTGGTCATCCCAGACTAAGCAAGATAAGATCAAAGGTCGCCATAAACAGGCACGACATTTTTTGAAATGGAAATGCACTGCATTACGCCAACGATGTTTAGAGTGACATCATAACAACCACTGTAAACGATGTTTACAATGACATCATGCTAACAACCACTGTAAATGTTTCATTCAGATCTGACAGAATAATTACAAGCTTTCTCTACTAGTCATCAACTGCTTCCTTCAACATCGCAAAACAAGCGCAGTATCTTTAAAAATAAATGATTCGAAATTTGAACTGTCTAAAATAATACAGTGATACACTACATAATACACTACACATACAAAAGAATAACTTTCTAAGCATCTCACAAATTAAAAAGCGGAAAACAACAAACGAATCCATCAAAATCACGAGTCTAAGAAACTGTTCCGCACATTTACAAATTTATAGATAATTTCAAAACTGTTGACCGCTCATATTGGATCCCTAGTAACCAAACAACATGGATTAAAAATGAAGAACGGAAGCTTTTTACACCGTTCCTCCTCATGACACATAAGCCTTACTGTACAAGGATGGTCTAGACATCTCTTAGCTACCAATGCGCTGTGAAGCTATTGTCAATCGATGATAGGTTCATAGTTAAAGGTTCACTTTTTGGGTGACATTGAATGTCGTAGTCTCAACATAGCAATTTACATCATTCTTACTTCATCTTAACTACAACTTCACATCAAAAAGTTAAACATTAAGAGACAAGCACCAGTTATATCTTTTTTCTTTTTGTTTTCCTTTTCAGTGAAATTTACCTTCTTACCTGTAGAGGTTAAGATATTTACAGAGAAGACATACATATCGTAGTCTCATAATGATGCTACCACAATTTCAATAGTAAATATTGACGATGATGATTTCCCTCATATAAGAATTTAGTTTATCATTTGCCTTATACGTTACTACTGTAATTGTTCTTTTCCTAATCTACTCGACCTGATTTCTCACTCTTATACCACGAACATACTAAGCAAATCCATAGTCCATCTGTCCTTCTGTTTATAATACGCGTTTGATCGATAGTATGTGAGGGGGAGGGGGTAGCAGGGAAAGAGCTGAATATAGAAATTGACGAAGGAGAGGGACGCCTCTCGGAACTCTTCGCACAATTGTTAACTTATATTTTCTAATACTGGATTTCGTGGTCTTTATCCCTTTCCACTACTCTCTTCCTTACATGTAACTAACCATTTTCCACTATCGCTCTCTTCATTTCAACGATGTTTGATCTTTATTGTCATGATGGTGAGGTTACACTGGCCTGTTGACCTTTTCTTGTGGAAACCCATCCAGCTTGACTTTTCCATCTTCATTTTTGATGGCAAACAAAAAGCATAGGGGGAGGCTTCCAGTGTCTGATTCCAATCGTCGTAATGAAGAATATTACAATACGTTCAATTTTCGACTTGCTTATTGAGTAGAGTGATTCGAAAACAGTTGAATCCATAAGGAACATTACACACGTCACATCTTTTTCAGGACTCATAATGACAACTAAAGTTCTAAATCTGACAGTCACTTCCGATTCGCGACAATATCCATATGAGAAGCGATATCCCGCATCGATGACCCTTCATGAATTAAAAGTTCGCTTCGTTTCTTTTTGTGAGAAATCAGTATTTTGAAGCTGCACTACGCGAAGAAGACGATCATATCTGTGATGAAATCGATTTTGTTGTTTCCATTTTTAGATCAACCGTTTTATTTTGTAAGGAGTTCTATATAAGTACTCTAATCCCAGTTGCTGTCTGTAACGGTTTCGAAAACAGTTAAATTGCATAGTGATATACAGATTCATCCTGCATGATATTGAGCATCCATGAATTAAGGAATTCTTTGCAGGATTCACCTTGAAACTTCCATCAGTTTTTTTTTCAGGAAAAATTAGTGTTAGTAGTTGGTAGTTCGACTGAGTGTATGCGAACAGAACTGCGTGACAAGAATGGGAAATTCCTATCATCATTAACTGATAATCATTCTACTCTTGAGAAATTAGGCGTAACTGATGGTATGCTCGCTCAACATATATCTGTTGTAACTTTCTTTATCCATTTTCTGTTTACCGGAGAAAGTTGTAAAGACTTTAAATTTAAACTTTTTTTCGTTTTGACAAGTTTCATGATCATTGTTTTCGGGTATGAGAATTCATGTTTCGGACATATCTTCTGGCAACCCTATCAGTTATGAAAATGTTTCGGCGATTGAAAAATATACGATATCTGAGGAAAAATATAATGAGCGTGAAGGTGATCTAATTTTGTATTTTTTGCTCGTGTAGCAAACAAAGAACTTTAACAATTGTTGCTTACATTGAAGTTATCACCAATTTTGCTCAGACTCAGTACGTGCCTGGAAACGACGTGAAGGTTTGAAAATAAAATATGATGCACTTGCTTCAGCCGAAAACGAAGCAAAGCAGTTCAATGTTTGTTTACATTTCGTTCAATTCAGTAGATGTTGGAGAGAATTGTTTTTATTAATATATATATAACAGTATTGTATGTGATAGATGAATTAAATAAAGTTTTAGTGTAAGTAAAACTCTGTAATGGAGAGATTTGATTAATAATTGTTCAAGATTGGCGATCGCTGTTTGGTGCACATATCGAATCAGCAAGAGAGAAAAGGCATCGTGTCCTACATAGGACTAACCAAATTTAAAGATGGTTATTGGATTGGTGTCACATACGATGAACCGTTTGGTAAGCACGATGGAAGTGTTAATGGTGAAAGGTTAATACTTTAATCCTCTCTTTAGTAATGTATAAATTTGTACCCGCGAAGAAATCAATACAATCTTTGCTATTTTGAATTACATTTCCGTAGCTATTCCATTTTCGAACTATTAATCTTCACTTCCCAAATTTTAATTTAATTACATGTTGGTTTTTAAAAATACTGCATTTCCGAATTATAAGTCCGACTTTCAAAATATCTTTGAGTATCACATGGCACTAATATTTTAAGCAAAATTTTTACGTAAATTGTAAATGCGCAGATATTTCACTTGCGAAAATAACCACGGTGTATTTGTGCGGCCTCGAGATGTGAAGAAGTGTGAGCAAGACGAAGAAATGGAGGAAATATAATACATATTGGATTTCCCTTCCTGTCTCAATTGTTTTGGTGAGTTACTAGCAGTTGTCTGCCTTGATTACAAAGTTATTACCGATTTTGTCACGTTTTCAGGAAAACACGTTACTAATTTTAATTAAAACAGTTCCTTTAAGATTGCCAACAAAATGCCTACAGGTTCCTTGAGCACCATGTGGTCTACTGTCTAAAACCAGTTCAAGCAATTCATGATCTCTATTTCATTTGCGTTGTTCCATATTCACGCATGTAGTAAAGTGAACTCAAAAAATGAATGCACTGTTAATGGATCTAATTTGTTTGGTGCAACTTACTGGCTTCTTGTGTTCGTTTTGCTTACATCCTTCTAAGTATTTTGAAAAGCTTATACAAAATTCTTTAAAAAAGCACATATTAGTTGCTCAGGTTATATGCGATATTGAAACGGTAACCAATGTAACGATAAAAAATGTGCAGATATTTCACTTGCGAAAATAACCACGGTGTATTTGTACGGATCGAGATGTGAAGAAGTGTGAGCTGCTGAAGACTTCAAACAAGTAGGAAGAGTATTAGTTAATGAATATTTGGTACGAAATACCAACAGAATAGAAACTATAGATCGCACACAGCAGTAATTTAGTTATCAGTTAGCAAATTTCCGTTTTCAGAAGACGAAATAAGACGAAAAATTTTTATCAGCAGGTATTATCAAGAACTGTGGGCCCGGAATTATTGTATATATAAGAATATCTGAGAAAAAACATTCAAAATGATTTCACAAGCAAATATCTACACATACAAACAACTACAAATTTCAAATAATTCAGCAAGGAAAGGACGAGGCCAAAAAGAGATCTAATTCCAAGAAAGGAAAAAGCGAAGGGTACTGCTTCGGAAGACTAAAAAATTCGCGAGAATAACCAGTCATGATAATAAAAAACCGGAACAAGTAATATGACCAACTCAGCTTCTGATAAAAAAACATTACGAATGTACTGCTTGAATTTCACATTTCACACATGTAGAAAGCAATAGAAATATAATCAAATATGTAGAAATCAGAATGCTATTCCAGCTATTTCATGATTTGTTTCCTAATGACTAGTGTTTTTTAGTATTTAGACGAATATAAGTAAATGTTACAACTGCAAAAATATATGTATCTAGATAATGGACATCATTAATTCTTAATGGATGAAAGTAAACTTTTTAAAAGATCTCTAAAAACAGTTTCCTAGCTGAAAAAACTTTCCAATCAAAGTTATAGATCCATTTTCACTCACAAAATGAAATTATACAGTTTTCAGTTTGTTCTTGGTAGTAACTCGAAAATCTGAGTAGTGTTAGTCATCTTATCTCAATTATACAAACTCGTGGAAGAAAAAGCAAAATCGTAACAATATATACAAGCTAACACAGATTACATTGATATCCGATAATATAAAAACACCCTTGACATAAGCAATAGATGAATATATACAGATATTTCTATGGTCAACCCGTATGAGATAACACCGTTCTATTTCCCGAAAGTAATCCGGAATTTTGAAATAATATAAATAAATCGCAGGTCAAAATCCTTCATAAAGCAAATACTATTAATGATATCAAATGAGTCGTTCATTGACAATACGTTTGAGAAGCATTATTATATTAAATCGCACTTTCCACATCCATAATCCATCTAAACTCTTTAGAACTTAACATCAATTACTTAAGTCGACCAAAAAAATATGTCCAAACTATAGAGAAAGGAAATTTGTCATTGATTTCGTCCAATTTGATTCTCTTTGTTAGTGAGCGGTACGTAAATTACACCCATCAGATCGTTCACCGTGACTTTACCCTTGTCATCTTTATCAACTTGTAAAAAGCGTTGATCACTGTGTGCTGCACCAACCGGTATCAACATTCGTCCTCCAGGAGCCAGCTGATTCAATAACTAAAATGAGAAATCTTTTTTCATTAGTAATAAAGAAGCATCGACCAAATAAATCAATATCTTCCTAATACAAGATTTATCAGTACAATAATGAAGTTATAGTAATATATAGTAATTCGATAAATCATCTCGGTTAACGTGATATGACCACCAAAAATAGAAAAGAAATGAAAAAAAAAGAACTGTATTCGTTGTACAACAGGTGAGAATGATACAGCAAATAAAAATGTAAAAATACCTCATCGGGAACATTGGGAGCGGCAGCTCCGACATGAATTGCTTTGTAAGGCGCGTACTGTGGGAAGCCTTTACGCCCGTCACCTTCAACCATTAGCACTCTTCCTTCCAGTAAATTTGCGTGGTTTTTTTTGATATTGCTCACTGATAAGTCCACCAGCTCTCCAATGTGCTCCACTCCAACGACTTTGCCACTTGCACCAACCTAGAAAGAAATATTGCAATATATAACATAAAAAAACAATTAATACTAACCTAAAACGATTATTAACTACTTGTATAAAAGAACCTCTGAGTTACTTCTCCTCTTTTGTCTTCCTAAAAAATCACAAGTGTTAATAAATTCCTATAATCTAAATCAAAATATTCTAATAATTGAGAATTTATATGTTCATTAACATCATCACCATATATGCCATGCATGTTGTTAAATAACCGGAACCGGAACCGATATCAAGTGCTCTATCACCTTCGGTCAAATGATCCTTGAGCCGTTCAAGCGCAGCAGCATGCTGAAAACACAATGTATTAATATATTATGTATTAATATATTAATAGAAATGATTTCAACAAGCATAAAGTCTACGAACAATTCATACCACAAAATAATACATATAATAGTTTAACGAGATTCACGACCGGCTTTCCTTGCATCATAGGGGCCAGTCACTGCCTCAAAAAACGTCTATTATCACTCATATTTAAGAAGAAAACATGAACTGTCATTATCGTACGATTTTTTTCTTCCATTACTATTCACTTGATACTCTGACAAAAGATAAATTAACCATATGCGGCGCACTAATTGTTGCATTGCAACCGATCGGTTCCGGATTATCCAGATATGGATTTCGAGGACAAAAATCCGCTCGATCGACCCTCAACATTGTCATCTTAACTCGTTCATCTTTAAACAAGCCATTCCCTACAAGTACTTCTGTGGTCTATAGCAGTTTCTACGTTTGAATTTTTTTTCGTAACTTTAAATCTCTTTATGGCGCCTAAAACCTCCCACTACTAAACTTCGAAACATAGAAGTTCCCATTCTGCTTCATAACGATCTCGACAATAGATCGAGGAATGCTTTATGCAGAAGTCTTATATGAAATACATAGATGCACAAAGATTTCCAGCACGAAAGTCGACAACCAGCCGACTTTGGAACTTCTTACCTTTTTTCCGAATTCCATTTCAAAAATAACTTCAAACAACTAACTACGTAAATTCTCTACCAATGAGGCATTTGATTCACCGTGCGAACGCCATGCCATATTTCGCTTCAAAAAGTAGATGCTAATGCTACTTAATCTCTGCTCTTCATAGATTTGTCACACGACAGAGTAAGCTGTAAAAAAAAGACTCATGGATTCACAAATCACCGTCATTCTCATGTTAACAATTCCTTAATATACACCAACTCAAGCTTCGGTTCCTGATGGATTTCAAGATCGTTGTCCACCGCTGTCCTAGCTGAGAAATACTTCAGAACAACTTGATGTTTCAATCTCAAATGTGTTGCTGCTCATAAATAAAGTATCTGTATTAACAATCCGGTTATCTGGAAAGAAGGAGATTTTGAAATCTTTATTTTTTGACATTCGACAAAATCTATGAAAATGTTACTCTGTTAAAAAATTGTAATAAAAACATTTGTGAAATGGTGGTATCCTTAGAAATAATGACCAAATGAACTTCACTTACAAAGCTTAAAAAAAGCATAGGATTTATTTACAGCTGATAAAAGTTATACACCACTTTGCAGATTCACCGATTTTTAATTACGAAGTAAGTAGACCGCTTAATAATTGTACAAGTAACTAGAAATAATATAATAAGATTCTGAATTTTAATAAATTAATACATCAGTGAATGATTAATGCACCAGTAGATCAGTAAACAATAATTCGATTAAAGCAGTAACTGCACGCTGAGATCAAGGTTGAAGAATTGAATGAAAAATAAAACTGGAAAGGATAAAAGAACACGTAGGATTTTCAGGAATCATAGAACATGTAACTTGACATAATAAGAATGAAACTTTGACAATATCTATTTACCTCGCGAATCGCTCTCTGCTAATGAATTTTATCTAATAAACCGAATCAGACTAATCATCTATATTAAACATATACTGCTAATGAAATTCATACCGAAGCTACCTGAATTTTAAACGTCCAAGCTGATATTTTCTATCTGTTAGGGGAACAAATAGAACACCAAATAATTCTTCAACTTTTACATTACCATTCAAATCTTTGTCAATCTTAAAAATATGCTGATCACTGAAAACTTCGCCTACTGGAATGATCATTCGACCACCTGGAGCAAGCTGATCCACTAACTGAAATTTCTAAATCTTTGATATCTATATTATTATATTTCAAATGGTTAGAAGTAATCGGATTGAATCACCTAACCAGCATATCGATCCCCTTAATTTTCTGATAGATAAGTTACATTAACTTGCTTCAGTACAGGAATTAATACATAATAAGTAACACTGAACTTATTCAGAAAAACTTTCTTTTTCCGAAACTAAGATCTTTAAACTGATAGGATATCTTAGTACAACTAAAAAAAATCATCTTAATAAAAATAATTTCTTCAAAAATAATTTAGTTATAAAATGAATCAGAGCAAATTTCGCACGCAAATTGAATAAATGACAACTAACATACTGCATCAGGAAGTTTTGGTGCGGCAGCACCAACATGAATTGCTGTATATGGAGCACCAGCTCTGTACCCATTACGACCATCGCCTGTAATCATTGTTATCCGTCCATCTATAAGCAGATCGCTATGATGCTTATTAATGTTAATAATCGAAAGATCTACAAGTTCTTTGATGTGATCAATGCCAATCACTCTTCCTGTCCTGCCGACCTACAAAAACAACTGGTTTTAGCATAAAATAAAGTAATAACAAACAAAAACTTCTAGCAATTCACACAACATTTGACAATAAAAATTATTAAATTCTATGGTTTTGCAAGCTAAATTTTTTCAGTAATGCTAAATTTTTTGTGTTGTAGAGGAAACTTCACGAAATTAAAGCCATATGCGTCTTATATTTAACTTCTTATTGTGAGGGGCGATAATACTTACCATAAGTGCCATGCAAACTGTCAAATAACCAGAACCGGAACCAATATCCAGTGCCGTGTTGCCGTTCTTTAAGTGGTCTTTCAAAAGTTCCAAAGCCAGTGCATGCTGAAAACTGCAGAAAAAAATTAGAGAAATAGCCACACAACTTTTATATTCTAACACTTCGATACTGCAAAAGTAATTGATCTGGAAAGCCGTTGCCACTAAATTTTATTCCTCATAACTGAACTGGCAACACAACTTAAAATTACGGTATAAATTATAGTATATATTGCAGTATCTAAAAGTATGACATCACTAAAACTAAGCAAGTTAAATATACATAAAAGATAAAATATTTACCATATGGGGAGCACTGACAGTTGCATTATATCCAATTTGTTGTGGAAAATCCTGATACGAATTTCTTGGACAAAAGTCAGCTCTATCAACACTCAGCATAACTTCCTCCACTCTGTCATCCGTGATATGTCCCACCTCTGCAAAAATAATAAGATGACAATCAAGCAAATCCACCAAATGATCGATAATATAAACCAAAAAAGGAGTTTAGTCATAGATCATACTAGTCTTCCAAGACTACTGAAGAAACTATATAGCACATTTAGGCACTCACTACCTATCACAAAATTAGGTATAATGTTAAGGGTAACATCATAAATATAAATGGATGGTATGCGACTCAGATTCAACTACGAGCTTTTTAACCGAAGCGGATATACACTTTGAAGCTGGAATTACTGCGGCTGCTAACATATTCAGTATATGTTACTTATTATGTGATACTTACGTTTTAAGAAATCAACAAGCATTGCATTTGACGTATTTTGTGGAAATGACATATTGAGCGATTAATTTCAGTATAGTAAGATGAATCAGTAATCCTTGTCTTCGAATAATCTAAACATTAAGTGCAACAATTAAATCATGAAAAAAGTGGTGAAAACATAATAAACCGCGAAATTCTCCAGCAACATATGGTCAAAAGTAAGCAAAAATTATTCTGGTAGACCTGCTCAGCAAAATACGTTATATCATGAAGCTTTTATTTTCATGGAAACAGTAGTTTTAACTCATGACATCTTTTCGGTAGAATTTTCTCAATAACCGGATGCCTTCCAGTAGCATATCAAATGGAAATTTTATGAAAACAATAAGAATAATGAACATGAAGTAATAAGAATAGTTTCCTGTGACTACCGGAACACGAAAAAGGAACAACATATTTTTTTGGGTCACGAACAGCAAATATCGAAAGAATTCATTCGAAATTTGTAGGGGATAGATAGTGAACACAGTTATTGTTTCTAAACCAATTACTTAATCGTAATGAACTTATAATACCGACAAAACTAGAAATGAATTTTTGGGACCAGACCTTATATAGATGAATATGTTATTACTAATACTTCTAAAAATTTTACTCTTCAAGAAAAGAAAAATTTTATGCAATGCAAAGGCTTTTACTCATTGCAGAAAAACTGCCGAATGATTACGATAGCATCAAAATAGTGATTCGATACAAAAAAATGTTGTCACGTGGCAACGTTGGGAATGGTGATGAACCTGCCATCAACAAAGCAATTACACAAATTCGAAAGAAGTGGAAATTTTGATTTTGAATGGGAACGAACTGTATTTACCATGTTCCAAAAACACTAATAGAATAGATTAGGACAGAAGCAGGGTAGAAAGAGGGAGAAAATGAAAAGCTTCTGAACAAAGCATTGGTAATTCTCGCATGCATTTATCATCCACATGTCCGGATGAAAACAAAAACAATCCATGCTGCAAGCACCGAGAAACCGAGAAGAGGCCCAACCACGCCCCTCATCCTTCACATCTCTGCGTGACCGTGATACCTGCTCGTTGTGCAAACACATCTCAATGATATCTTCCGATGATAGCTTGGAGTGGCGTTCCCCGGATTTTATTATCAGTTCTGTTTTTCCAATTGGATATTCCTGAGATGAAGATTTGGTGCTTCAGTTTAGTTGGTGTAAGGTATAAATTTCAGGCTATTATCTAGAGAGGCAAATGCCAGCTGTTTTTCTTTCACAAATGTTCCTTTTTAACATTTTGATTCAGCTCACTTTACCTGATTGTGTAATTGATTGTAAATTACTGCCATCATTGCGTTCATATGATACACTGTGAACTTTATTATTTTAAAAGGTATTCAAAAACAATAAGCTGAAAAACATTTGAACTTGATATCATGGTAAGAAACATAAAAGAGCACAACAAATGGCTTAAATGCTGAAGTCACACTTGCATAATGTAATAATTCTCGCAAGTCCATTCGATTCTGAATCCATCACCATTATCCGTCGTATTACCATCGGTATAAAATTCAAGGAGAACTGAAGTACCGGGCTCGATGGCTATTTCTTTCGGCAAGGTCACCTAAAATAAACCATCAGTTGTATTCATATCTAACAAATTTCAAGTTCATTATGTTGAGATATACAAGATAAAAGAACTTAATCGACAATTCTAACTTTTTTTAATGCTGCATCCAGCCAGAAAACGGGTTGAACTTTCATAACATTTATAATTCCTTCTCCAACTTTGCATAATATTACTCGCAGTTTAATTCTTTTCCCGCTTCTGGCCGCTACGTCTAGTTATTCAGAAAAATTTTATCTTTTAATTTAAGCTGCGAAATTATTAAGTTTACATTATGCTTATTAAATTAGGAAATCTTACAGCATCTCTACATGGGAGGTAATTGAGTGGTGTATTCTCTGATCCTTCAGATCTGATCTCACCGAGCACCATATGATCACCTTCAGTGCATTCACCATTAGTGTTCTTCCCAAAATCCATCGTCAAGAGAATTAATTTACATTTATGGCCATTCGGTGGATTGATTCTCCATCTATAATAATGTTTTTCAAGGACGCGTAACAATGTAAGGTCAATAACATCATTAACAAAATGGCAGCATTTCCGTCCCCAATATTAGACAATGCGGAACATTATTAATATACCAAGATACATTACAATGTAATATTCATTTTAATCCACTTACATTACAATTTATAGCTAGGGCACCAAGAAAAATAGAATTCAAATTTGACATTACTGAAGAGGTGCCCTATCTATAAATTTATTATTCTTAAACTGTTAGAATCATTTTAGCAAAAGTGGAATTCAAAGTTGAGATTACTAAAAGGGGACGCAGGAAAATCGAGAAGACTTAAAATACTTGCGAAGAAAGTCGCTATTCATCATATCTTCGGGCTGTTTGAAGATTTTATAAAGTACCTCATTCTCTGTCGATTCTTATATCCTGGATAGCCAACATTTGTCACTGCACCTTGCAGCTCACTTATGATACCAAAGTCGTAGTAGACGAATGATATACTCTCTACAAGGAAGAACATGACTTTTTTAATTGCAAATTCTGGGTTAAATTTAATAGTGGAATCTAATATCTTACACGGCTATTAAAATGTAAAATTCATAATTCTAACCTGGTTGTGGTCGAACAGTATAATAGTAGGCGTCATATCCTCCAGATGCCATTGTACTATCGCTTTTGAAATAAATTTCTAACGTATTACTAGAACTGAGAAAACTGGGTGGTAGTTTATAGTCGCAATATCGTTCTGTTCGGTTTCCAAAGGAATCAATTATCTGTGTTATGAAATCAACATGTTATTTTAATAGATGTTAAACATACCAAAAACTTTAAGAAAATATTTGGACGAATTACGAAAAAACGATGCAGCAATATCAAATTTCGAAGTCAAAGTTCCGTCAAATTTTGTGAAATGGGAAAAAAAGGTAGAACTTTTTAATGTAATGGCTTCTTAAAATCATAATTATGCTCCAGCATATTTGTTTCAGGTTTAATATTGGGGAATAACAACACTTCACCTCAATATAATCATATTCACAAAATTCATTGCTGTAAAGACCACTGTATTCATCAATTACGTTTTGAAATGGTCCAAAACTTCGTCCACCGCTTAACCTGAAAACTTTTTTTAACATCTCACAAAGGATCATCACAAACGGCTATACACAGACTTAGTAGTTGTCAAAATCAATCGAAAACTTAATTTACACCTAAAGGAATCAGAAATAAACAGGAAGTGATCTGGCTGGGAGCGAATAAAGACAAACATTTCCTGAATAGGGCTAGATAGTCGACCATTAAACGATCGGTGAATTTTTTCCAGTTTAAAATCCTTAAAAACCAAAAATATATGATATCCGGTTAAAGCTGTTAAAGTAGTAGAACAGGAGCAATTATGGTCGTAAGGATTTGGATAGTTTGGACTTGTTATATGTCCAGTCATTGATTGCTGAGTAATGATTGTTCGATTACATGCTGTAAAAATTGGTTGGTAATACAAATCATGTATTATGACTTTTGAAAGCTCTCTCTCTCATGTACTATCTTAAATGAAATGAATATCTAATAGAATTATTTCAATTTAAAGCATTTTTAGAAATTTTCGAGATTTAAAAATAAAGTTCAAGTGCATTTTTGTAATAGAAGACAAAACAAAAACTAACAGTTAAGTATTTGATAAAACAGGCGAAATTTAGTGGTGTGTTCGCTTTGCAGAATTGCAGATGTTGTTATCTAAAGTCACTAAATATTATTCCTAGTAAGAAAATTAGAAAGCAATTCAAATTTTAGCGTTTAAGTGTGTGTTACGATTTAGTCATAACAATAAGAACTTCGCAATATTTTATTGTAATTAAGGGAATGCCTAATCCAAATGCAGTAATAAGTTATGGTATCTTATACTTCACTTCTAAATGTCAAACGTTTTTACCTGAACAACACTTGTTCCTGAAATAAAATCAGCCGGAAGTGTGTTACCACATAATCGAAGAGTCTGCAGTCCATTACTAGTATCACGACAAGCAGGATGATGACAATCAGCAGGCGTGCCAGCGTCACGTATTTCCATATATTCATCGGTACAATCAGGTGTTAAAGAAGGAAATGAGAATTGACTGAAAAGTAAAACCAAACTATACAAGTACCAATTGAATATTAAATGAAACCCATTACTTCAATTTTCTTGAAGGCAATAAATTCAAAAATTATCAAAGTTTGCAAAAATATTGTAAAATGCTGACCTGAAGTCAAGTTGTATAGGCATTCTCTCTTTCGAATAAATTATCCAGCGACAACGCTGATGCTTCGGGAATGTTCGCGTAAGCACTGAAATTAACAAGACTGATGAACTTTGCTTGATATTATAGATATTATTATTATTATTATTATTATTATTATTATTATTATTATTATTATTGTTTGATATTATAGTTATTATTATAAATACATATGTCATTTGTTGCCATTTCCAGTATCCTGAGATATATTTACTACAACACATCAAAATTCAAATATACAAATAATGCTTAGTGATTTTAACTATATGCCATTCCTTTAAAAAAACTATATACCAATAATAGAAGTGGCTGGTAGTATAATAAAGGAAAAAGATTAAACATATATTAATAAGACAAATAAAAATGGTATAGTCGTGGTGATGGCAAGAATGACACGTATATATTACTTTTTTCACTTTCATATTGCAATTCAGCAAATTCAGTGACAGCAATTCTCCGACCACCACATGGTGCTGTAATGATGAAATGTTAAAAGTGCCTTAATTTAAATGGGAATCTCTTTTTTTTTTTTGAATTAATGAGTTGAAATGTCATAAAATTCGACTGGCGACCAAGGATTATAACACGATTACGATTCGGAAGCATTACAGATTTAAGGCAACGTAAACTTAACAGTATTGTAAACTAACTATACTTTTTGATATGAACGAATGAAACGGGTAATAATTTTAGCAAGAAAAAAAACATGCATAATTTATTTTTCAAAACTGAAAACCATGCCTGTAATAGTTTTGAATGCCACCGTAAATCCTTTGAATGTTTTGTCGGAATCGGTTTCGAAATAAACGTGCACAGTACGATAAGAACTTTGCATGATCAAAGGAAGTTGTCCCACGATCTTACATGTGTTTGATAGTAGCATAGGGGATATCGTCTTATAGCCATCATAAATCTAAAAATTTGAAATTCTTTATTAGGATTAAGACAGTGAGTCTAGAGGACGAAATTGGCATAGGAGTGCTCAGAAGGAAAAGTAGAACGATTCTATAACTTTTAAGGCATTCATAACAACTATTCATACCGCAATGTAATCGTAGCAACGTTCTGTTTCTGTATCAGGAGCTTCCAGTTCTAAATCTTTCAGCTGTACTTCCAGTATTTTCCCTGTCGGTGCTTTCAGTGTCCAACCACAGCGCAAAAAATTGTAATACTGGCCTGTTTTTGGATTCAAAGGTGATGTGAGCTCGTAACTGTCACCGATATTTATCACTCCACCGCATCCTCCATCTGGACCTGAACTAACAGAAATTTTTTAATAAACCCAAGAGTACAAATATCTACTTTTAAATATACAAAATTTCAAAATACAACTTGAAAATAGTTGATTAAATATTTTCGATGACAGTGACTCCAACATCTAGTAACATCTAGTAATGCCTGAATAGAAACCAAATATTTCTTCAAAAAAATTGATTGTCGTCATCAGTTCGTTACTTTTCCTTCTTGAACCAATATTCTGAGTACAGAATATACATTTTGTTTTGTTTTGTATCAAATGATTGCCTTTCTTTTTAAAGGAATTCTGTTGTCACAAAAACGAAGACAAGAAGAAAAACGCACCAAGAGAGGCAGTTACAATAATTCTGAATCCTTCTTTGCTGGTGCTTCTGTCCGAATAAAATCTTACAACCAGGAATCGGCCAGTTGTAGACATCTGAATGGAAGGGACGATTGCGCCACAAAATTTGCCCATACTGGTTGTATTATTAATTTGTGAGCCATCAAAGAATTCCACAAAATCAAACAAACAATCGGATGATTCTTCCAAATCCAAATGTGTGTATCTAAAGTATGGTAGAAAAAAACTAATACTTCTATGCATTACTTCATCTGAATGATAGAATGATATGCGAGCTTCTTCCAAAAAGTTCATTAAAAGATACAATTGGTACACATAGTGCAATTCAGTAAATCATTTCCTTTCCTGAATAGCGTTGCTGTTAACTGAATAGTTAAAATTTCTAACATAATAGTTGATAAAAGCCACTCTCTTTCATTTGAAAATATAACAAATGATAAAATATAACAAAAGCTGAATGATATTCAATATTAATATGTCAGAAATTGCTCGTTTAAATAAAAAAGAATTTCTAAATATAACTTACTTAATGCTAAGAATACGTTTTTCAGGAGCGGATATGTTCCAAACGCAGTCAAGATTGTGATGATAGGGCAGAGGAAAACCCGGAGATGAAATAACTGCTGACATCAATCCCATCTCTTCTTTAAAATTAATTTCACCACCGCATTCTATAAATTAAATTCTTCCGCAAGGAAAAAATAACGATAATGATGCATAACTTTTGAAGTATTTCGATAAAAAAAGAGTATATCAATATTTTTTCCCTCTACTGCTATCATTTACTACTTCTAAAAAGATGGAAGCATGGTATGGTCCATTTCTATTGAAACAGAAAAATTTATTCGTCAGGATTCTTTTTTGATACAGATGGGATGTTAGTTAAAAGCAATTTTCATGTTTTAAATTAAACATCAATATCTTCTGAAAATCATAATATCTTCAAATTATTCACTTGACAAAGCATACGATATTTTAAAACCACGGCGATGTTTACGACGATTAGGTAGATCTTCAAAGACTGATGTGTTTGACACGAAACGAACACCGACTGGTCCCTAAAATTTGGAAATTCACTTTCTTGTACCGAAAATTTCTTCGCAACGGTTTGCTCTTTCACAATTATATCAGATGTAACAGTTGGAAGTAAAGGAAATCTAACAATATTTCATTTACAGCAAATGAGAACTATTTATAGCAAAACGCAGAACTTATCTTAATAGATATAGGAGCTATTTCACCGTTAGTATCACGATTCGCACAAAATGTGTCAATAACACGGTTTGCTGAAATATCTCTTAACTCCAAGAAATCTGTGTTGCATGGCTGTCGATTGTAATCATCTGAAAATTTTAAATTAAAAGAAAATAAGACTGTATTATAATCCAACAGAGAAATTTTTTATTACAGACATGCATTAACTTTTGTATGATTTCTAGTTAAGAATCATCAATGTTATAACATCTCGGCTTTATCATATAATTACATTCCATGGTTTTCACTTTTTAAAATTCAGCTTATCAACCAAAAATTTTAACTGACACTACGGTTAAAGAAAAGTACTAGTGCGTCGAAATATACACCACAGTGAATTCAAACGTGAAATAGCAATTAACACCGCTGATGTACTCATGGCGATTTTGAAAGAAAAAAATTTTACGATAAACTTTAAAATAGAATACAACAGAGCAAACGTACAAATATATGGGTCAAGTTCCAGGTCAAGAATCTTTAGTATGATTATACGTGTACCATCATATTCGGGCTCTATCAAATAATCACATTCCATGTCTTCGTTTGGATAAAAACGGGGATAGTGAGGTGATGTAATCACACCATGGTTCAGTCGAAACGTAGTACCACATTCTAAAATGTTTTTTGGTTACTATTTCAAATGCTACTAAAACTCGTTTTCACTTATTCCCATATTCTATTTATTTAGAAATATCTGATTGATATTTTATAATGATCCTACAACTTCAACCTTTGTAAGTTCATTTTTCGTATCTTGTAAGGTATTCTAATTTGACGTCATTATTAAAAAAATAGGATGATATGAAGCGCAACCTGATTTCCATGTTATATTAAATCCTTTCCCTGTTATTTTATCATCCGACTTGAATTCGATTTTGATACGATTACTTTCTGAATGTAACACACGAGGTGTTTCATACCCACAAATCTTTTTCAGCTCTTCTTCATGATCGAATAAGAAGTAATAACCCCCAATTGGTGCCATAGCTCTTGAGTGATGTTCCTGACTTATCTAAAGTAAAATATTTAAATTTTATAAAAATAAAGTTTGAAATAATAATTCTATAATAATTGCAAATCCAGAATAAAAAATTTAACAATACTAAATATTATAACTAAATCAAAGAAAATCGATGTTGCATAAATGGTGTTATGACAGTGCGTTGTAGCCCTTTATTTTGCCATCAGAAAAACACTGTTTCTCAATTTCATAAGCGAAAGCACTTTGTCTCATTGAGATTAATACTTCATTTTACTTTAAAACTTGTAAAGAAATTGACTGATGAAATCTGAAGTTTTAGAATAACCTTAACATAATCCTTGCTGCAACCATCCGACTGTTGCACATCAAAACGATGAAAGTATAATGCCACATGATAGCCAAGTGGTACCGAAATATCCCATAAACAATAACCATTATTCGGGTAATCGTATGGACTTTTTGGGCTTATAACAGTGCCAGTCATACGATTTGTAGTAAATCCACATTCTAAAAAACAAGTTTTTCAAGGAAACAAAAATATCTATGTGCAAATATTATATTGTTGTTAAAAAATGGCTCATATAAGCAGAAAATAAGCCGACCATCTTCAAAACCAGAAAAGCTGTATTCCAGACGAAAGCCCCTTCGTTCAATAGACTTATCAGTGAAAAAATAAAGTGTTAGATATCGTCCCCTAGACTTCACTTCTTTGAATCGATCTTGTATTGGTTCATCTTGTGGATTATTGCAATATATGTGTATCAGTGATGCATCAGTACCACCTCCTATAATAAGAACTCACTTCATGCAACTCCTAAAATAAATTCCTTCAAAAGATAATTATTCAAATAAGAGATGATATGCTGTTCTTGATCTGTTTTATTGTAATTATTAGTTCCCCTACAAATTAAGACAATAATTTCAATTTCCGTTAAAGAAAGTGGTAGAAAAGCTTCCTTCCTTTTATTATAATGCCCATTATTAATATCATATATAATATAATGTCCATTATACATAGTTTCAAATAATTACCTTCAAATAGTTTCAAGAAATCGTGCTTGCATTCCACATTGTATTCCAAATCCATATCAGTTATTTTGATCTATAATCACTTTAATTTTAACTTATCGAACAATTTACTAATATCATATTACGGCTTGAAAATTAGAGCAAAAATAAGTAACTCGGCAATTTGATAAACACCCTAAAGTAAGTTTTAACCGATTAAATTACTAATAGAGAATACCGAGTTAAATTAAATTATCTTGCATCCTTTTCTATTTTTACTATATTTCTGCGTATTTCCTCATAGTTGTCATATAAATTTTCATGGTTTTTTATTCCTACTTTTTATTTCTACTTTCTACTTTCTACTTTTTATTAGTGTTAGTCAAACCTTAACAATTTGTCCCTCGGGAGCTTTCAAACTCCAAACACATTGCGTATCAGGCTCATAAGTGCTATTCCCCTTTCGATAAAAACCAGGACTTATTAAAATACCCGATTCCGGGCCTTGAATCAAACCACCGCAAGCTGAAATAATTTCATGTCGTTTAAATGAGAGACTGAATTAACACACAGTAAGATATCACCTATAAAGTACAGAACAACTTCTCTATTTCATTCAAATAGCAAAAGTTACGTAAGAATTGAACGGTGAGATTGAACGAGATTGATGACAAATGCAATCTTTGAAAAACATGAATGTCGAAACTTCTATGTGGCAATGCCACTGTGAAATTAGCAATTTTTTTTAAGGACCCATCGCAAAAGCGTGCTTCGAAAGGCCATGGTTCATTATCAGACGCTGAAAATTTTCAAATTCTTAAACAATTGACGAATTAAATATGTCTACGAATATTAAAACTGAAGATTAATTAATTTCGTGATTCTTCATTATTTCCAGAAATTTCGAGTATTAAAGCAAAAACATCGTATCCGCAAATTTCTAAATATATTCAGTTAATGCTAATGTCAATATCAAATAGAGGAAAGTATAATTTAGATTGGGAAGATTAATTACCTTTTACAAGCACATAGCTCTCAGTATCCAAGCATTTACTATTAGGTTTCCAAAATGAACTTTCAGAGATTGAAAAATTTTTGAAACGTAATACCGTAGTGCCTGCTAGAAACTGCCGTTCTATGAGCAGATGGCAGTAGTCTGAAATTACTGATAAAGATTATCGAGTTTTATATAAAAGGGAAAATCAATTTCGTAATTTATGAACTAATCCTTTCCTTAAAGATTTCCATCTTTTTGACTGAATAATCGCCAAAATGTTTGAGAAGCATCTAAGAGAATGAAGAATATCTGATCATTTTACATGAAAGAATAATGACCGATATCAGGTGATGTGGCGATTGGATGTCTCGAAACTTTTGCACCTTTCAATTCAATAGTTTCATTCCTTTTAACGTGGTATATGCATGCATTTTCATCGAATTCAGCTGGTACCTTAAAGTGAAATACTGAATAAAAATGCGCACGTAAAACTAAATTTAGTTTCCCAAATATAATCACTTGCTTATAAAAATGCGCAAAATAAGATAATAACAGTTAATATATTTTATTAAGTTTATGTGCTCAACGGTTTGTCACTATTTCCCTCCTTGATATTTCAGGAAAATGAACCAATGTAGCAGCAATGACGGATTTTGATGGACTTCAAAATTGACGAATTCGAAGAAGTGAACAGTAGCATTAAAGTAATATTATCAAAAACTTAAGACATACAACAAGATATTGAATTTGCGCATTATAAAGCAGTCAAAATAACAAAGATTTCAGTCTGCCAATTAATTTTTAACTATTGATGCAATATACTTACATTATAAGCTGTACGATGTTAATAATAGAACAATACCTTGAAATAGGAGATTCGGAATGGAGCATAAATTTTCTCAAACGATATTCCACGTTCCAGCATATTCTGTTTCTCATACATAGCGGCTCGATCATTATAACGCATAGTGATCAAATCTGCTGTCGATACAAATCGTGTTTCATTAGAACAAAAAATACGATCCACAAAACCATAGTAATCTACCAGCCTATTCAAACCATTAGCAATATAGATATCCGGATAACATCCAACTTCGTTGTATGTAGTCTGATAGAAATTCTTAAAAGAAAATGTACATTGAATATGTGCAGTAAAATATGTACGAATATGTGCTTTTTTGAAACATGAAACTGAAGTGAAATAAAGTTAGAAATGAAAAATCATGGAAATGAAAAAAAAATAGAAATGAATGATAAAGGAGTAATTACAGTTAAGCAGTTAAAGAAACAATCATTTGCTTATAGTTTTCGCAAGACAGGAAAAGAAGCTTTACGCAAAATAGTTTTACTTCTATTACAAACATTTTAACGTCTGAAGTTTTATTAAATCACCATCTATTGATCTCTTGAGAGTTTACCTCGTGCTTGACGAATGAAAAATCTAAAACATAACGAAAACCAATTCCTGCTCGGAATACCCAGTCACATATGATATGCTCCTGAAGCTGATCCGGATAACCGGGAGTGGTAATGTAGCCAGAATTATCACTTATATCTCCTCCACATTCTGTAAGAAAAAAAAAATTGATAATCAATGTTTATAGATGTTAGCGCAAAAAAAAAAAATGAATAGAATTCAATACCTATTTTGCTGAGAACTAAACTAAGATGGAAACCACATTTCTTTTCCAAACAAAACAAACGACTCGATCGGCCCACAGTATTGTTTGATCGGAATGAAACAACCATAATATTTTGAGTTGATGTGAAATGTTTACCACGTACCGCGTTCGATACACATGTTGGTTTCAGAATGTATAAAATTAAATTGTTAAATATATAAAATGTCTAGAAGCCTATATATTTCTATTTTGTTTTAAAGAAAATGAATTCACAAATATAACAACAAAACTTAATATTATAATAGGAACACTATTTAAATAAGGCAAATAACATTTACCAGTATTATCTCGTTCTCGCAGAGCAACACTGTCCTCCGTGCAATTTTCAGTAAATAAAATCCACAGGTGATCGAACCTACAGATTAAATCATGATGATTTAAAACATAAATTATGATTTAATTATAATTCAAAAATATCCTCATAAATTAACACTAAACCACGTGTTTAAATTGTTACGTTGCATTCACGTAATGTCCTCGCGGAGCCACTATAGTCCAATCACAGGTAGTTTGACTTGGATAGGGTTCAGGATAATTTGGACTAGTAATCACACGATTTCCATTCATAGGAATAACAACACTACCTCCACATGATGCTGAAAGCAAAGCAAACAAGAAATCACTAAAACAATCTAACAAAAGTTAGTATTAATATTAAAAAGATTAATTACAATTTCGGAAAAAGAAATACTAATTCAAAATTCCTAAAATTTTAATTCAATCCTCACCGTAATTATTTTAATATAAGCGTCAAGATCCTAGCCCTGATGAACTTTAAAAGGGTTTTGTAAAAATTTTTTTAAAAAAATTGTACCAATTTCATAAGTAGCATTCCAGCCCGAAAAATGTGCAAATGAATCTGTTTGATAGTGAATGTTTAGATAGGATCCGGTGCTGAATATAGTACTTGGTGGTTCTTTTCCACAGTATCGCCCAACTACAGGTGATAATTTTGAAGGCCCATCCCTTATTTCCAAGTAATTGGTAGAACACCTGCAATTTTTGTCAATCGTTTGATGAAATTTGAAATTCAAAAACAATTTTTGGGAGGTAAAGCATTGTCACTACCTTGAGACTATATTAATTAATTAATTTTAGTAAAATTTAGAAATCTCCTGTTCGATATACATACTCATCTTCCATGGAACTGTCTTCAAGATTGAAACTGATTGGGTCAACGGTAAATTTTATGCGATGGCCGCTGGATGCGCTGATTGTCCAAAAGCAATCCAAAGAATTTGGTGATGCTGCAAAATAATTTTTTTAAATATTCCACCATGGTTTTCCAACAGTATTTTTCAAAAAAAAAGCTATTTTAAATTTGAATTAAAATTTACTTTTAATACAGAATATATCTACATACTTCTTGGAAATCCTGGTGAACTGAGTACTTTTGGAGGATCGCCTTCAGTTAATATAAGTCCGTCTGAACTACAGTCATAAATTTGTTCTGTCAGTTGCAATTTGAAGCCCTGTATTTGTGGATTTAAGATATCACAATACAATTCAGAAACGCAAACATATTTTTAATATTTGAAATAAAGAGTAAAGTTTAAATCAAAAGAAATGAGAATTTGATCAAAAGAATATAAATATGTTAAAGTAAAGTGATGAAAATAGCAAATATAAACAAAAAATAACTTTTCCAACAATATTTGAATCAGTCGTGAAGCCAATAAAAACTCTTCCATTTGGGAACGTTTTATTCCATTCAGATAGATTACCACATAATTTATTATTAGCCGTTCCATCCATATAGATTGGATTGGAGTGCTGGAAAGGTTTAGTTTTATAAGAAATTCAAGAAAACGAATAAATATAAAAAAATAACAATAAAGTTTTTTAACTATAAAAATCATGAAAGAGAATTTCTACATTCATCGTAATGAAAATTGATTAGTAGAACATCAAGTTTTACCACAACGATGCCATCTTTTTTGCACAACGGGCTGTTCTCAATATCCATAGTAAGAAATTTAGCCAAAATTGGTCGACTACTTTCTAGCATGATCGACCAAGAGCATGACAAATTGTTACCGTATTCATTGGGATAATTTGGACTTTGTATGATCTTGTTAAAAACACCCAAAGATGTTGGTATGTAATCAAATGACTGGCAAACTGAAACATATTCAGTGAATAAGCAATTTTTATCAGGCAAAAAAGAATTAAAATTAATCGCAAATTCTCACAGTTAATTTGATTTGTAAAATTATAACAAAAATTATTAAGAGGTGATGAAAGTTCTGCAAGAGCATGATAGGGATACTCCTAAATAACAAAGAAAATACATTCAAAAATACATTTCAAATAAATTGAATGCGAAACGAATGAAGAGAATGTAGGAGTATATTAACTGAAATACCAGAACTGAATGTATACTTATACTAGGAAAAGTTGCATTTTTAGTTGGAAAAAAAATTCCGATTAAAAGTGCAATTGGATAATTTTAAACTTACTCAGCCTGTACTCAATGACAAATCCTCGACCACCTCTATTCCGATCCGTCACGAAAAAAATTGTAACTGCCTCTTCCGAGCTGAATAATTCTTCCGTTCCCACATCTTTGTGCTTGCAAAATTTAGCGACATCACCACTGCAAATCATCGCACAAAATCCTTAGAGGAATCCAAGAATTTTTCAATAATCACTTTAATAAAAAGTATCAAAACTTACACAAGTTGTCCATCCTCATAACTAACACCGCCTAGATCTGATGAAATAGCAACATAGTCAAAACGACAATCAACATGTTCCTCAAGATCCATTGAAATTATTTTAAGCATAACACCAGCAAATATTGGCCGGATTATTGTCCATCGACATTTTAAGTTATTCGCGTAACCTCCATGCCCTATATTAGTTGAAACTTATAAAATCAAATTATAATTAATTTATTGTTATAAGAAATATGTAAAACTAACTTCAATAACAAAATTAGAAAATATAGAAAATATGAAATAGATTAAGATAGCTATAAAATACTTTACTTGACATACATTCATATTCTATCACATTTATGTTCTATTTCATATTCTGTCACAGATTGCAGAATGTGAGTATTCTAAATACAATATCGAAATTTTTGTAATAATATATAAACGTGTGAATAGAAATTGAAATAGCAAACTGACATCTCGAGACACGAAACATATTAATAGATCGCCAAGCTTGTATAGTTGATGTGAGAGGAAGTACAGTTGTGAATTTACCATCCATAGACATCCCACCTGGATTTGTAAGATATTGCGAATCAAATGTTGCCGTAAGGGTCCCACCGCAAGTGAATTCTGTAATAGTGCATTTTGAAAACATTGATAAATTATTTCCGATTAGAGATATTTGAAAAATCGGTATTTTTTAAATGAGTACTTCGAATTAAAGGACTATGCTTATTTCAAAGTAAGGAGTAAAAAAGATTTGGTTTCTTGTCCAGATAGTTCAATGTAGCTATTCTTAGAATTAAAAAATTACCATGCATTGAGCCCCCAGTAATAGAATGATTTGTTTTTGAAAGTGAAGCATTAGCTATAGCAATTGGGATATTTTCCCAAATAAATCGAAATGAGCTTCCCGGCGGTGCATTAAATAAAACCGTGGCCAAATGTGATTTAATGAAGAAATCTGAAAGCTTTGATAATAAATTAAACATTCAAATTAGATCCTTAAGCGAAGCAATTTTGATAAAACTAAATTTGCTCTAATACCATTTGGTGGTGTATATCCCGCATGGACAAATTCCACTCGTCCACATCCATCGTTCTCACCGCTCAACATGCAAATCCCTTCATTGAACTGTAATGTTTCTTCAAATTATCTATAGTTATCGAATGTAAAAAATCAGTTTAAGCAGCACTGGAGCGAAGATATTGAAGTTCCATTTCATTTATCAGAAATTGAAATTATATAAAAATATAGCATACACCTGAAATTGTGAACTTTATCAAAAATATTAAATTACTTACAACAAGTCCTTTCAAACTATCCCTTTGCTCGATATCCATGTTATTTTCACCTCGCTCATCCGGTATTTCAATATTTTTGATTGAAATTCTTAACCAGTGATCGTCCTCACCAATTAGTGTCCATTCCAGTGGTGCAAAATTCATAGACTGCCAATCTTCGGTTAAAGGTGAACTTACTGTTGCGTCATTTGTCACGCCGCCAAACACTACAAAACTAGCCATTGCACGTTCATAACAACTATTTTGACTTCTATGCATTTTATTCAATGGATTTTAAGCAAAACCAATTATTACACATCTATCTTAAGTATCATTCCTTAAATAATTATGTTATAATCAGATTATTAAATTATCCTTTGAATAGTTATGTTTTGAAATAACATTACTGCTAGATTTGGGAGAAATTCTGAAAAAAGACTATTAAATTTCAGTATTACGTTATAATTGTGACATAACGTATTCCAATACTCAGTCATACAAGATGATGGATTCTTCATGGTAACGTTGAGATAGGTATGCATCAGGTAAATAGTCAAATACAAAGGATATAAAGGCTCTCCAATAACATTGATAAACATAATTCTCAAAATATAAACGATACCCTTTTTAAATTTAATCATTAATTCCGGTTTTAGTGGCTCGATGTCACTACTGTCATCTTCACTGCCACTATATCTCAATCTTATCCAAAATGCTCGACTCTAAAATATATTAATATCACGGTATTTCAAATAATATAGCATTCACAGTGTGGAATTCACTTATCGGCTTTAATTAAAAATTAGGATGTTTGAGAATTTACAACTTTCTACATCTTTGTCGTTTACTAGCAAAGAATGAAAGGTGAAGCATTTTAATAAAGCCATTTTTCAATAGCGTTACAGAAGGGATTACAAGGGAGAGAAGATAAGGAGACATTGAGTTGAAGAGTTGAAGTGATTTGTGCAAGAGGTAATAAAGTAAATTAAACCAGTAGTTGTATGAATGGGAAATGTTGGTGAAGGATTGGACATAAAGTGGAAGGTTTGATTTGTAATATTATTTGAAAGCTTTAGCTGAAAGTGTCACAATTTTTCAAATAAGTAATTCATGCGAAACATTTTTTTCTGAAAATAAAACTTGAACTTGAAAAATTAACTTACAATTATCGTTGGCGTGACATCTTCAAAAGAACAAGCTCTTGTCACAATTCTCCCGCTACTATTGCTTTCGCGTATCTCCAAGTAGGATTCTGCACAATATTCCGAAAAAGGTAATTTCAGTTTACTGAAAAATCAAATTTTGCTGGACCTTCTGAAAAAATTTAGATTTCTCCTCAAAACTTCCGACTCTTGTTTTTAAATCTAATTTTTTCTTGTAAGAATCAAAGCTCGTTTGGTTAGAGTTATATAATTTACCAAAGGCAATACTAAAAATATGTGAAGTAAACAATAATAATATAAAAATAAACTAAATAAAAGAAATATTAATGAGTAAAGAAAAGGAAAAAAATACAAAATTTCGAGCTCCACTTTGTTTCCTTCTGTATTATTTATGAACCATTCACATTCAAAATCATTTTCAATGAATGGATAATAAATAATTCCAGCTATCGAATGAATGATACCACCACAACCTAAAAGACTTTTCAGTTTTTATCTAATTTTCAATAAGCAACAAATATTGCCTTAAAAGATGCGAGATTAAAAGAAACGAACTTTCGATTTGTGTAGAATAAGAGAAGTGAATGTGTTCTAAATGCATTGTATTCAGTCCTTTTAAATGCACTTTGAGAACACTGCCTGTTGAGCGTAATTCACGATTAGTACAGGCAAGTGATATTTGTTTTGAGATTGAAGGGTTGCATTCAAGATGATACCTTAAAATACGCAAAAGAACTTTTACATTAATTTCAATCAAATTTAATAAAACAGGAACAAAACTCAATCATGAAGTTCTTTATCAAAAAAGTACTACAAATCAGATTCCTTAATATTTATATTGTATTCTTATTTTCATGGCAGCTAAAATCATATAATAACTTGCAACACCTGTACCCATCGCTATAATTCTCTTAAAAAATAATTTAAAAATGCAAATAAGGAAAGGACTTTTGATAATAAGAGTCAAATTGAACTTTTTTTTCATGTACAGAAATCGTTAAAATTATTAGTAATACCAATGGATAAATTTTATTGGCTAATTTATGATAATTTAATACGCAGTAAAAATCGTTAGATAAACATTTTCCATACTTTTTACTATCTTTAATGAACTATTTAATTTCAAAAAGACTATCGCATCTACATGAACGATCAGAAAATTTTCGTATTTCATTACATAAACAATGACCAGATTTATTATTTTATAACTGATCTCGCTTTGCCATTCAAAAAAATTTTTATTTTAATCAAGAAAAACCTCAAATAATAAAAATCCTGAAGAGTGCAACAAAAAGAGAATATAGAAGAACTTGCATTCCAAGAGCGGATGCATCCTCTTGCGCGCCGTCATAAACGAAAACGGTAGCTCTTGATTTATCGAGTGCTTTCAAAGTTTTACGCTTGCTAAAACGTAACTGATCAAGACGAAGGTATACGCGTTGTCCATCTGAAAGAAAATTAGATTTCAAAGCACATCATATCAGCATATCATATTAAATAAAACTAATATTACGATTTGATTTTAATTTTTCAGATGTGAAACCTTTAGCTCTGATAAGAAATTGGCATTCGTCCTCTCCGACAGCATGTATTTGGAATGTTTTGAGTTCATTCTCGGCATACAGCGTACCACCACACGCTAAAGATATATATAACACAAAGCCGATATTATGAGCGCGTTCATCGTCTCCCGATAAATACATCCGTTCGTAAGGGCCACCTTGGAATGCGACCAGCGCCTAAAATACACTCGTTTTGCGCTCAAAAATCTCATTAGCATACAAGATATAAATCTGTAGAAATTTGCAACCTCTTCGGTTGTTGACGTAAGAACTTCCGGCTGCTTCAAGTTGTGACAAAAACGTTCCAATATTTCCACATTACTGTAAATTTATTTTGAATAATAAAATTTTAATATTTTTAGTTTACTACGAAGTGGAAAATTAACTAGACATAATTTTATAAATTATTAATTAGATAAAATTTTTTTTATTGGTGAAACTAATATTTATTGCAGAAACTTGTGAGCTTGTAGCAACTTAAGCATAGTAAATGACCAAAATATATTTTAAAATATGAAAAATGAACATACGTATTATTGCCATCATAAAATGTTATCGATCCCTCAAGGATATTTCGCGAGTTTTGGCATCTAAACAAGCATAAATAAAGAGAGGAAATTAAATATGAAACCAAATATTTAACTGAAATGCTTGTTAGAATATTAACAGTATTCAAAACATCAGTGAAATTAAACGATTCGGAAATTTCCTTAGCTGAACAAATAAGTTAACAATAAAAATAGTTAATAATGAAATATTTTTATAAGGAAAGCTTACGTAAGCGTAATATTTGTAGCAAAATTCGGACGCCATATTTTTATATCTGGTCGTTGGGGATGATAATTTAAAGCCGTGTAATGCGTTAAATTAAACCGAATCGAGTAGCCACTCGGTGCTTTTATCAACCAAATACACTCAACTGATTTCGGATAAAGGTTTGGGTAATTTGGTGAGTGTAATTGAATCGTTTCATTTCGTTTCACTGTCAAATACGTTCTCTTACATTCGTTTAACAATTGCAAAAAAAAAACACTCAAAATATTAAAATGAAATAAGGATTGTTCCTTAAAATTTGCCGTTTTCTCTAAAGTGCTATAGAAATAAAACGTTTAGGGGATTTGTATTTCAACTTTAAAACACTTGAAAATAGTAACGGTAAAGGAAACATCACAATTCTCGTATAGCTGTTTTATTTGCAACGTGTAAAACGGTTTTTGATTTAGTCAAACTTCCTGGGCTATTGCTACCACGCCAAAAAAAAATCCCTTACTCTCGATAGAAGCTCCACATTCATCACCTGCCTTTGCAGATACGAATGATACTTTTCCGATCATGATACGTTTTTTCATGTCTGGTTTGGCTAGTCTGCTGGGGATTTTGAATTTTACAAATAACTCATTCGTATGTGACGTATAATTATCCCCCTCCTCACTCGAACAAATGACTTTTTGAGGGAAACCGGTTGCATTACTTGTACCTGAGTAAAACTGAAACATAATTCAATTTTGTAAATTAATTTCAATAAATTTAAACGGTTAAAAATTTTTTTAAAAAAGCTTAACTCCGGAATTCTCTGTAATATAATATGGTGATAAATTTTCAACATTTCGTATTCCTCCTCGCTTTTTCTCCTCTATTTTTCAATCTGCTTTCTCAACTTAACATTTTTTTTTGGACTCATCAAATTTTTGTCCTACTAATTAAAAAATATTGTTGGTTGTACTTACAGCAAGGCCGCTAAACTGTTCGCCATCATTTCCAGTGCAGCCTTCGGTAATTTTAAACACAGACAGTTTCTCGATACGAAATAGTACTCGCATTCCGATAGGTGCAACTATTTTCCACGTACATTCGTAAATTTTTGAATTGTTTACTAGTTTTCCGATATCAATAATTACAGTTGTTGGTGAAATAATGTCACCACCACAACCTAAAAAGGTTTGCAATGACCCAAACAAAATTGTTTTCAGCTATTCCGTCGTCCTGATTTGAATACTTACACTACCTAGGGATCTTGATGCTGAATAACAGAATATAAATTGAACCAGTGTAGCATTTTGTATTATAAATACTTTACAGATGTGTAAATTAACATCATTATTAATTATATCGACATTTGATTTTTAATGTACCTTCATTTGACCATGAAAGCCAGAAATGATTCTCGGGTTCAGTTTTCGAAGAAAATGTAATATCAACCACTTCATTTTTTGTCAAAATCCAAACTGGTTTGCCAATATGATCACAGAATCTTTGCATTGTTTTTGTGTGGCTCTGCTGATTGTCGATTGTAACAGAGGATTCCAGTATTTGATTTTCATCAAACTAGAAAATGATAATTAAACGTATAATCTTTCAATTTCTAAGATTTTTTCCTAATAGTTCTCCATTCTTCACATAAAAGATTAAAAGATTAAAAGACATAAAAGATTTTTCCTAATAATAGTTCTCCATTCTTCAAATTTGTGTAACACCTTATCAGGTCTAATTTCACTTAGTGATAATGTGAAACTGAAATCCAAATACATTTCTTAACTATATAACTCAATAAAATGATTCAGAAAGCGTCGAGACATAGAAAAATAGTTCAAACGCTGAATTAATTCGTTTAGTAAATAAACTATCATTATCTAAGAAACCAATAAAAAATTCTAAGAATCAATTAATTTCAGTTTTCAGTTTTTTGAATTCTAGTTTCATCTCTTTCTTAATAATTTGAGAAAGCTAGATCAGGCTTATAAAGAAGCTTAGTGCTTTAATTTTGGTGAAATATTCTTGGAAATTTGAAATTGAATGAAAAGCTTACTTCAAGATAATTGATATAACAAAATGGTGTGAAATGAGTATTTGATTCTGCAATTCTAAAAAAATGGAATATCAATCGGATCCGATTTCCTTTCGTTGTTTGTATACGCCATTTACAAAAACGATTTTCAAGAGTTCGATCTGGATAACCTGGACTTTGAAGAACACCATGTTGGCCGAACAGCAAGATTCCATTGCATACTGTAATATAACCAATCTCATCTCAATTAAATCAAAAATTTTATTGATAATATTGTCTTGTAAATGCACCTTTGTTAAAACAAAAGACATCCAAAACGATTAACATAAAATTAATTCAGGATAGATATGTTAGTTAAAAATGAATCTAATGAGTGATTTTAGAAATCTAACCAGTGGTGTAATGTGCAAGAAATCCAAAAAGTGAACCAAAATGGGTTCCACCATGTTGACGATATCGAATTGTTAATTCGTTTTTCTCGGAATCAATAGATGACAATGAAATGTCTTTCTTGCAATAACGCCTTAGTATACGTGCAGATACTGAGGAACCTTCAGCAATCTTAATATATTATTAATTAGTAATATATTATTAGTCTGATTATAATAATTTTCCAAATTCGATTTTTCCTTTAAAGGATAGCTATTTTTCTGTCAAAATATAATTAAAATTTCGGGAAAATTTTTTGTCAATCGTATTACAATACAGCAGCTGCCCCCGGAAAAAGTAGGTACAACATACATCAATATAATTTGGAGCAAATGATGAACAAAAGCCATTGGAATCAGCTGAATTCAAATCATCAAGCGCTGTAATGGTGAAGCGGATTCGATTACCTGCAAACTATATGTAACACTATCAAACATTCAAAATAGTTTTTTTTTTCTTCTAATGTATATTAGAACCTGCAGCAACGTGGATATGCCAATCACAGTTCAGAGTTCGCGAATCTTTCAGCGGATATTGTGGAGCTGATAAGGCACCATTAAAACCATCCAATCGTCCTCCACAATCTGCAAAATTTCCTCCTTTATATTATTTTAAAAGAACAGAATACTTCAATTGAGCTTACTCAAGCCAATATCCAAAGAAATATCCCAAAATATCAAATAAAATTTTTTCCAAAAATATCGAATAAAACAGTAAACTAGCCAGAATCAATTTGCTGGTAGTAAATGGTAAACATCACTAATGGCGCATTTCTTGTCGTTAAACGCATGAAAACGCTATTGCCTTGAGAGCGTAATTCTCTAACAGGATGATCATCACATACTTCGGAATCGCGGAAAAGTCCGGCAAAACCAGGCGATTGTTCATTTACTCCATTTCTTAAATAATGATAATGAACATAAGAAAAAATTTCATGGTAATTAGCTTGTTTTTTAAGATTTGGGATAAATTCTTAGACAAAAAAATACAAACTTATAATAGCAATTTTCAAAACAGTCTCCACAAATGATTTTTGCTTTTGATTAATTATTTAATTACCTCAACATTAATGTTCCTTCATCGCAAGGGGCTGACATATTTTCAAATAGAAGAAGAATCCTTTTCGAGGATTGCAACTGTAATTGCAGAGACAAGTAACCCAAAAAAAGAAAAAAATTTATTATACTGATATTTGTTAAAATGAAAATACAGTTTCCAAAAACAGTTTGAAATGACCTACCGCAATCTGATAGTCACATTGCATAAACTTCATCTCTGCCTCAGCGTGAATTATGATTCTACCGCTTGTGGACGTATATGTTCTATGGCAATCAGTCTATAAATATCAAAATGTTGCGCAATCAATAGATAAAATTGAACTGATTTACTTTACTAAATAATTTCGGATTCTATGATTTATCAAGAAGAGGAAATTTTAAGAAATAAATAGGAAAAAGAATGAAAAACATGTGAACCACACAAAATTACCATACCTTATCATCAACAGCTTGCCATTTGGCCATAAAACCAGCGCCATTTACTGAACGATCGCTTTTGAATACAACAGTTAACCGACTTCCAGTAGATAAAATTGGAGGCGGAAGTAGTGTGCCACAGAATCTCAAAAGAATTATTTCCTGAGTAGAGATCGAAAGATACTAAGTTCTATCAATTTATCCGAAAAAAAAATCTGATTATATTTCTAGGTTAGCTAAATCAGCTTTTAATCACTGTTTAATTTTCTGCAAAAGTTTGCATACCTTCCATGTAATTTGCTATGGTCATTATCATTTACGTAGGTATCATAAATTTCGATACTATCAAAGGAGCAATCTTCTCGATTCGGTACAACCTCTAATTCAAATACTTCAAATGTTAGCCGAATCCGTTTATCCTTTAAATGCATTAAATATTAATTTTTCGAGAAGTTTATCTGAAATATTCAATCATATTTCAAAAATTGAAGCAAATAAGAATACCAATGTGTTAATCACATATATACAGTACATGTGCGCCAAATATTTTTCTGGGTAGTTCGGACTTGTTATTTGGCCTGATTCTCCTTCAAATACTCCACCACAACCTGCAATAAAGAAGAAAATAGATTGAATGGATCCTCATTTTGAATTGTATAAAAGTATTGTATAAAAGTTAAATTTATAAATAAATTTAACGCTTGAAGTGGAAATAGCTTACCTACGTCAAACTGTTCGTATAAGAAAAATATGCCCTTATTGGCAATACCGCTTGAACTCAGTGTGATACTTAGTGGCCTTGAAGCACTTGCCACCTAAAAAATTGATGGTTATGCATGCTAAGAAAGTAGTAAAAAACAAAACATGAAAAAAAATATATATTTATATACCATTTCTCCGTCAGGTGCGACGAAGGGATATCGAGCGCAAACGTATCGTTTATTGATCTGATCATGTGAATCATGGCCACCCGAGAACTAAATGTTTTAAAAATTTATGAATAATTGGAGGATACAATAAAATTTTAGCATGTAAATTTTAGTTTTTCTAAGTACTTCAAATAAATAACTTGAACCCATTATAAAGAATCTATCGACATCCAATTCATATGAAGCATCTACAGACGACAAAATCCTCATCATTACTTAAATTAATCAAAAGTTTTTAATTTTAGCCATAAAAATTGGGGATCTGAAATTTTTAGTCCTGATCTAGGTAATCCAGAACAATGTTATTTTCTTTGCTGCCAACTTTTAAAGAAAGTTATTATTTTATTCAGTTTTTCTTTTTCCCATATGTTAATTGCATTTGCATCGTTCTATGCCTACCTAACAATTAGCTATAACTCGGTCTAAAAAAAATTCGGAACGATTAAGAATAAGGATGAAACTATGGAGAAGAAAAGACAACCAATTTTCGTTTTTTTATACAAATAAAGATCACCTGTATAAAAAACTTATCTTCATTTTCTTATCATCTTCCTTAGAATTTATTTCAATTCGGTTTTTCCTTAATCTGTACTTAAATTCCTGCCTGAGTATTTTTATACAAATAAATTCATCCAACTTGTGAGCAAACTGACTTCGACGTAATCTTCCAATAGATCATGTTTGGTGACATCATAAAAGCATGTCTTAACATCTGCATTCAATCCAATGAAATTGAATTTCAGTCGTATCGCTTTCGTTTTTTCAGCATCAATAACATAGGTACATTTAAATGGGTGGATACTGCCATTCGGATAATTAGGACTTTGAATGGTTCCATTCAGTGATGTAAAATGCTTTTCGCATGCTGAAAAAAGAATTAATTTTTAAATTCACAGAGACTGATTTTTTTGACCTAGTTAAAAATAGCTTACTAGTGATTTAATCTTCAAATAGCTAAGGAAGGAAACCGTAATCGGAAACCTCAGGTAAATCAATTCAATGGGACACCAAGTTCAAGAGCAAGTCATGCTGGCAATGATAGCAATTGATGTTACTAAATGTAACCTATAATCAAAGTCATAGATTGTATGGACTAAAATTAAAGTGTACCAGCAGAATAATAAATTTTAAATCCCTTTCCGTTGATAGATTGATTCGAATGGAACTGTACAACCATTTTTGGCCCTGATGATACGATCGGACCTTCGGGTCGTCTGCTGTTGCAGTAACGTCCCAGCATAGGATGCGATGCATCTTCACCATTTCTGAACTGTAATATACTTAAGGTTTATTAACATCTATGTAAACGCACAATAAAAACTGCCACAATGTGAAAATAATCAAATAACTTAATAATATATATTCAGCTGGACTTTCACTTCAAAAGCGAGCGAGTCCTTTCCCACTTTCAATTTCTTCCAGTAATAGAAATTCTCGCTTCCTTTATAATATAAATAAAAGAAGCGAGAAATTCTATTATTAATAAGATTGACCTCAATAAACCTGACCAAAATCATTCTGGCACCATCAAGACATGTATACTTTTGTCTATTTATTAACATCTATGCCAAGACTCAAAGTTTTTTCAATAGCATGGTTAATTTGAAGCCTAATTGCCGTTATCATATTATGTCGGAAAACTGAAACAATTTTATAATGTAAATATTTTGAAATAATCAAAATGCTTTTGCAATGTAGAAATTTATGCTATAAAAATTGTTTTATCTAAAATATTCTCAATCAAATGATTCTTCGTTTATTAAGGACTAGAACAGTCACATATATCAGTAATATATTATGGAAAAGTTATACTGTCAGTAAGTCTTCTATCAGCAGGGTTCTGCAACCATACTACTAAGCAGTACTGCCATCCATACGTAACCTAGTGATCTACTCTAATCGATATTCTTTGATTGTTGTCTTATAAAGTTCAAGAAGAATAAACTCTTTATCGTTCAACAAAACTTTTATCACAATTATTCCATTGTGTCACAACTTCAAAAAATACTTTCACAACACACTGCAATGATATTCCTTCCACATATACTGCTCTATCATTTAAATTATAGGTCATGGTATTTTTCCAGCACTTTCAGTTCAAAGTTAATCATCTGCCAAAACTTATTACCGAGATATTTAAGTACTTGGTATCCTCGGCAGGGGAAAATTTAACTTAGCGAAAACTAGAAGAGGCGCAAACACTTTCATTTCTTTTAATCTACGTCACTTTTGAAAAGCAAGTAAAGAAAAAACATTTCATTAGAAGCTATTCTTCAGACATTTACTAAACACTTACCTCAAGTACAAAAACTGCTGTGAAATGATGAAAACGGAATGGACACACAGAAAGAAGTGCTACAGCTTCTAATGCTTACCGTAATGTAATCAAAACGACACGGTCTTATGAGATTCAGCAATCGCTGGGATGGACCGGTTGCTTCCAAAAACGAAAGACGAAAATGAGAAGTTTCTGGAATGCATCATGTTGCAATTTGACCAAAATAAATATTAATTAAAGTTGAAAATGAAGAAAAAATATTGTGATAACACTGGACGAAGTTTGGTAATGAATGGAAATTTTAGACAGAACTGGTCCGACTTGAAATACAAAGTCGCACTCGTAGTTCAAAAAACGAATTTATACATATGTACGTTTGAATTTACCTTTTATAGATCTTGGAGGAGCAGAAGGCACATCCAAATCAATAATTTCCGCTTTTATCACTTTCGCATCGTAGCCCTAGAAAGAATAAACATCTGCTTGGTATTTCTTAACATTTAGCTAATTTCTGAAATCGAATGATAGAAAGGTATTTATTGAATTTACATTGGCGATAGAAGAAGCGTCAAGCAACCATAAGCAATCCAAATTTGCGAAATAATTGAAACCATAATTCGGTGATTGAATATAACCTTCAAATGAGCCATCAGCATCCGGCAAAATTGTACCTCCACAATCTTTGTCAACTGAAAGCTTCATTCTTCTATCTATTGAGTTTTTTATCTTAGGAGGGAATTTCAGTAAGGAATAATGGAATTTAAACGGAATAAATCTCTAACAGACTTACGTTTAATAGTTCTAAAATGAATGGTGAAACCACGACTGCAAAGAGAATCACTGTCACCTGAAAAAAATTATGATTAGAATTACTTTAAAAATAGATTAACTTTCAAGGAGCGAATAACAATTGGCATAACGCTTAAAGGCTCACAATGTTCTTCGGGGAAATCAATAGGATAATTGCTCCTGAAGTAAACCGTGAAGTATGGTAGTGTCGTACGTACCAAAGTTCGTGTAGACTCACTATTACATAAGTGTAGTATACGTTCCGTTTCGTCAATTTCGAGGCCATCAAAGAGCTAAATTTCAAATTAGTTAAATTTTGCTCGATTCTTAAAATTAAAAAAAAACTTTTTTAGCAAACTGAAGAGTACATAAAATAGTAAGGTAAATGCTAATTTACCTCGAGTGAGTTGATTGAACAATTTCGCATGTCGCCTGAAGCAAATCTGATCGGTTCCACAGTAATTTCAACATGCATTCTTGGATTAACAGAAACATGCCACTGGCAAACTTCGTTTCTCTCATAACCATACAGTGATATTTGTCCATCATCGCTATAGAGTCGTTTACCACATTCTTCAAAATTTTTATAAGTAAAATCTAACAGAATTGAAATCTGAGAAATAAGCTGAATTGAAATCTGAGAAATAAGTAAGCAATTACTATAATACATAATATAAAGCAATTAACTTTTCTCGACAGTTCTCCATTGCAATGCAAAATTGCCAATTCCAATACTACTTTTACCAGAAACAAATGCAATATAAGCTTTGTTTGATGAAAAATAAATTGGACGAGAAACTGGAACCTTAAAAAGCAACAAATAATACGAAAAAATGGGAGGTAAAATAGAATAAGAAAAAATTCTTAAATTCGACTAACATTCAAAAATGAAAAGATAAATAACAAACGACTCACCATTGTAGATCCTCTTGGGCCACAAAATATGCCTACTAATGGACTATTTGCATGTTCGCCATCACGTAAAGTAACACTTGCATCAGCCATAGCACATATTGCCGGTCTAGTTGGTAAGTGGAAACTTGTAAAGTTTATCTCAATCACCTTCAAACATTTATTTGTTTTATTCTCTATTTTTTGCGAATCATTTGAATATTATCCGAAGTTCGAATCAATATTTTAAATTGTTAAACATATCATTTTCCAGAAGCACAAAAGTTTTAATCCATCACATACAAAATATTGTTTTCTACAAGGAGCATACTTTACTCGGTTCATTAACCGTAATGATCCACTCGCATATTTTACTGCGGCCAAAATGATACCATGTCCAGTCCGGATATTTAATTACACCTGTTGCATTCGTTATGTGACCACCACAACCTAAAACATCAATCTAAGCAGACAAGCAAAGCTCTAAAATAAAAAGAACTAATTGAATAATGATAAAAAACAAACCATCTTCCTCATATTCGCATGTTGGACCATAATAACCCCTCAAGCATATGCATTCAGATGAGCCATCCTTTTTGATTAGACATTCGCCACGACCTCGACATACATTACTTAGACAAGCACTAGCTAATTCACAGTGTTTACCAACGTAACCCCATTTACAGTAACATTTGTATTCTTCCTCCGAGATTATCTCAAATAAAACTTTTTATGTATGCTTGACTTCTAAATTTCGATTTAAAGTATAGTTTGAGCAAAATGTTTACCATTAATAAGGATGTCTTTAAAATTTGCACTTCTTGCATTTTTATGAAATATTAGGAACAATTTTGAAACAAATTCTAGAAGCTTGAATATTTCAACCTGACATGTTCCTTGATTGTAGCATGTATTGGCACGGCAAAGTGTTACATTTGAATGATAACAACCTTCAGTACCGATTCCATCACCAATCATTCCGGCGGGACATTCACATCGGAAATCTCCCTCGTCCAGTGAGCTCATGCCCATATTATAACACTTAGCCTTCGAATGACATGGAGATAGCTCACATGGGCTCTGCTTTTTACAAATGTGACCGTTACCCTTATAGCCTATAATAAATGCTAACAAACATAATGTTGTGATTATATAATATAATTTCCATTTCAAATTACAATAATTTAAACTCATTACTACACTATCATTGTTAACAGATTATGAAAAACAGTACAGAAATAACCAACCAGGTGGACACGGTGCACATTCATAAGAGCCAATAGTATTGATACATTTCACTGGTGGATCCTTAGAACAAGTTTCCAGATTCTCATTTGCGCATTCATCAATATCCAAACAAATCATTCCATTTCCTAATCATTATTAATTTTTGATTGTGGTTTATCCAATAATTTAATTTTGTCGACATAATTAATGATATGTATACATAGTTCATGATTGATGAGCATAATTCCTTATTATTATCTTATTTAGGTTACTGATTGCTAATGTTTATTATTACTGTCATGAGTTTACGAAAATTCAGCAAATTATTTACAGTGCTATCAATTACGTTCATATGATATCCTATTTTTTCCTCAAACTTTATTACTGCTGATAGATTTCTATATTCATTATTCCTGTAAAAACTAAAAATTATCTCGATGAAAGATAGTTATTGTTTCATTTCGTAACTGACATAAGTAATTGGATGAAAATATAAGTAGGAAGAACCATTAACTCCTATTCTAGGATATTATTTATGGCTGATAAATTCATTACCAGTCAATCCCGACGGACAACCACCACACTTGTAAGAACCAGGCAAATTGATGCAAGCTGTTCCGGGATAACATGGATTTGACTCACATTCATTTACGTCCTCACAAACTGGATTGTTCTTATCAGTGGAAGAACGATAACCCCACTCACAAAGACAACGATAACCAGGCTAAAACATACGAAAAATACATGTCTTCTTAGGTGAAAAATAAAATTTTGAAAATTTCATAAATTTCGAACATCATTTGCATATTTATTTCTACTCTTATTCTGTCTGTTCCGATTATTAAAAGCCTTAATTTCGTCTAAAAAAATTGGATTCGAATATATAATTGTTCAAATGTGTGAACCTACTTCATTGGATTCTGGATCCGGCTGAGTTGGTATGCAATGTCCAGAGGAGCCACATAAATCCAATGAAAATTCACATGCTGTTGCTCGCAATTGACATAAAGTTCCATGGAAACCTTGTTGACATATACAGCTTAAAAAATTGTATCAAAATAAAAAAATTTTACAAAAAAAGAATTCCATTTGTTAAGCAAATAAATTTAAATCAAAATTTGTTTTTGATGACTGACACAATTGTTCATGTTCGTGTCAGCACTCGCTCTTCGGTTAAACTAGGTATACAAATTTTTGGAGTGGCAAACCTTATACATAACATTGTCTTACAGAATTTGCAGACACAATCTCGCAGAAACTTTTTGCGGAATGCGACATAAACATACAATCGAGAATGTGCATTTCAATTATTTTTTCCTGCAATTCCGTAATTTCTTGGAAGACTCACTGAAATCCACCCGGTTTCGGGATGCAAGATGCATTATTCTGACATCCGGCCGGTGTCCCCTCATAAAAGCTGCATTCATCCATACGGTTTTCGCATGTTTCACCCTGAATATCTCACCATTGTTGAACAGTTTGCATATAAATTTAGAAATTTCTGAGATTTCAAATTCGGAAAATATCCTGCACTTTCAAAGTAAAAATTTTTCATACCCTCTGGCACCAATATTTTTCTGGGAGAAAGTAAATCCTACAATTAATTTGCTGGAGATGTACAATCGAAAAATGACTCGATATCAAGTCAGAATTATAAAAATACCTCAAAATGCGGTGGACATATACACATAAATTTGTTGTACAGATCGATGCATGTTGCGCCATTCATGCACGGATTGTCAGCGCATTCATCCCTCTTCAAGCGATTATCCAACACCGTTATATGAGACTTCAATGCGGCTAACAAACTTCGAAATTTCCGCCCGCTTCCTTCTTTCTTCTTTGAATTCACTTGTTCCAGGCGTTTTATAATATCGGCTATCTAAATATGATGGAATTGTCGCCTAAAAAAATGCAATCAAAAAATTTCGTTTTTTCTTCTCTTGGTTATCAGAAATTAACGTATCTAATTCTATTCCTTAAACTATAATCTTTTATAGGTCTATCTTGCCTATTTATCAATTTAATTCGGATTTATTCTGCATATATCAATACCGTCAATTTTGTTTTCTCGATATCTTATTTTAACGTTTTACTTTCTCAAATATGAAACTTTTCGTCTTTCTCAAATATGAAATGTTTGGAGCACATAGCGAAAGTGTACAAAGAAGCTGAGCAGCATAATTTAGTCGATATATCTTCCGTTGAATTCCATTTACCTCAATCTTTTCATTGTCACTCTGCTGCACATTTGTAGCAAAAATATCACTTATTTCGAATTTTTCAAAAATCTTTTTTGAATAATTCAGAGCTATAACATTTGAAAACTAATCCTGGGACGATTGTCTGAAAACCATTTGTCAAAAGAACAGAAAACAACAGTCATATGGTAGCGCATGTTGTCATCATTGATTGCGTGTCTTTTCAACTGTTTCCCTTTTTTCGTTTTTCGGTTTTTGTGCGACTAAGGATAGTTCTAACAGTGGGGTTGGAATAAAGATTCTTTTCAAGTTTTTTTGAACTTTTATTACTAACCACTCATATCAGATCACTTCAGTACCACGCGTACCACTGGAATTACCTCGGAGTTGGAAAGTTTAATTTCTTTCAAGCATTCGTTTAACTTGATGCTTAATTGTTAATTTTTTGTTTCACTTCTTTTTTGCTCTAATATATCCGATCTGTTTCAACCTACTTCCCTCTTCACATGCATACATTAGTTAAAATCAATACAATGATTTACAGAACTGAAATTTGTAATTTCTGAAATAAATAATGATGATTGTTTAGAAAGTTACTGTAATAGAACACAACTCTATAAACATCCATTAGTCTGCTGTAGTTCGGGGTATTAGAAGAGGAGGAGACTACTTAGTTAAGTTGGCTATGCTATCTCTGTTTATGAAATCTCATCACTAGCCTGCCTTTACTTCATTTAATCAAAAATACAATCATGTATTCCCCGCATTGGGTAATTTACACCGAGGCATTTCAAATATTTACTGGTTATGGACTATTTGCCCTCGCATTGAACACGCAAACAGTAACTAAAGGCTTGAACAACACTAATCCTTTGCCTTTGCGCCACTACTTATACGTAATATGTTGCAACTCTAAAAGACATAGAAAAACTTATGCACTTTATTTAAATGTCTTTTATGTTTAAATATACGTGCTTAAAACGAGACGTCTTTGTTTTTGGCATATTTTCTAATAACTAACTAGTTTGCTTTACTCTGTAGATCGATTCTAGTTTTTCTATTTCGATTTGATCTTTGTTCATATTCCAGGAAATCAGTGTGAGAGATAAAATGCCGCCCACCATTAATTTGATGGAAAATGTTAAAGAAAGCTCCTATGGCTTTGTTTATGGCGTTTCTGGGCCTGTTGTAACAGCCGAAAAAATGGCTGGCTCAGCAATGTACGAGCTAGTACGTGTTGGACATTCCGAACTGGTCGGTGAAATTATCCGTTTGGAAAATGATTATGCTACGATTCAGGTTTACGAAGATACATCAGCAGTAGCAATAGGTGATCCTGTACTTCGAACCGGAAAACCATTGTCAGTAGAACTCGGTCCTGGCATTATGGGTTCCATTTTCGATGGTATTCAGCGGCCCTTGAAAGACATTTTGGAGCTGACACAGTCTATTTACATTCCGAAAGGTGTTAACGTTAACGCGCTTTCGCGTGACGTAGTTTGGGAGTTTGAACCAAACCGCAAGCTCGCTGTTGGTGACCACATTACGGGTGGTGATACCATCGGTTTTGTGCGTGAAAACGTTCTCATCAACCATCGAATAATGCTCCCACCAACAGCATGTGGTACAATTACGTATATAGCAACTGCTGGTGAATATCACATCACTGACATTGTGTTGGAAACTGAATTTGCTGGAGAAAAATCTAAATTCACAATGCTTCAAATCTGGCCTGTGCGTCAACCACGTCCGTGTGCTGAAAAATTGGCAGCTAACTTTCCTTTACTGTGTGGCCAACGCGTTCTGGATGCATTGTTCCCTTGTGTTCAAGGTGGTACCACTGCTGTTCCGGGAGCATTCGGTTGTGGTAAAACTGTTATTTCACAGTCACTATCCAAGTACTCCAATTCCGATGCCATCATTTATGTTGGATGTGGGGAACGAGGTAATGAAATGTCAGAAGTACTGCGTGACTTTCCAGAACTCACCATGGAAGTCAACGGTGTCACTACATCAATCATGAAGCGTACAACTTTGGTCGCTAATACGTCAAATATGCCTGTAGCCGCACGTGAAGCATCAATTTATACCGGCATTACATTGGCTGAATATTTCCGTGACATGGGTCTAAATGTCTCTATGATGGCTGACTCTACATCACGATGGGCCGAAGCTCTTCGTGAAATTTCTGGTCGTTTGGGTGAAATGCCTGCCGATTCTGGCTATCCGGCATATCTCGCTGCTCGATTGGCATCTTTCTATGAGCGAGCCGGTAAAGTGAAATGTCTCGGAAGCCCAGAACGTGAAGGATCGGTTACTATTGTGGGTGCTGTTTCACCACCTGGTGGTGATTTTGCTGATCCGGTCACTTCGGCTACTCTTGGTATTGTTCAGGTGTTCTGGGGGTTAGATAAGAAATTGGCTCAGCGTAAACATTTTCCATCAATTAATTGGCTAATATCATATAGCAAATATATGAGAGCACTAGATGAATATTATGACAAAAATTTCCCAGAATTTGTTGCCCTACGTACAACATGCAAGGAAATTCTTCAGGAAGAAGAAGACTTGTCCGAAATTGTACAATTGGTAGGTAAAGCTTCACTGGCTGAATCGGATAAGATCACCCTAGAAGTAGCTAAGCTGATCAAGGATGACTTCTTACAGCAGAACGGGTATGCGCCCTACGATCGATTCTGTCCATTCTACAAAACAGTGGGAATGCTGAAAAACATGATTGGTTTCTACGACCTGGCAAAGCACGCTGTAGAATCAACTGCACAAGCTGAAAATAAGATTACCTGGGCAATAATTCGTGATCACATGGGTGATATCATGTACGAGTTATCATCTATGAAATTCAAAGATCCGGTGAAGGATGGTGAGCAAAAAATTAAGAAAGATTATGATGAATTACTGGAACAAATGCAGACTGCGTTTAGAAATTTAGAAGAGTAAATGGTCTCTTAAAACATTCACTGAAGTTTGTAGAGTTATCACTTCACTATTAAAAGTAAAGAAAGATGCACTGGTGAAAGCATCGGAACAAATTGATAAGTTTTGATAAAAATATTTGAAGTAACATAAATCAAAAGATAATGAAATTTTATGATGAAATAATCTCGAAAACTCTGCTATACGATTTTTTGATTATTCTGCATTTTTCGGCCAGCAAAATATGGTGAAGTTATGTATAGTCTTCTGTTTATCGTTCATTTGGTGGACTTAGTTTAGAATTGTATTTTTTGTGTAGTTTAGAATGTATTTCACTCTTTCTTAGTACCTCTCATTCAACACGAAACTTGGATGTAATTCACTTTTGAAATTATTCATTCCAATTTTTCTACTCAGTTGCTTCCAATTATCGTTTCACCTTTCATCATGGTTTATCTGTTCCTCTGTCCACTTTTGCGAATATTTTATTAAGTAATCTTCTGATGTTTTGTGATATTATATTGTAGCAAAATATATTTGCAACATCAGTGGATGTTTATATAATGTGTATACACAAGTAGTTTGTATCACCTCTTGAATAGTAATTAAGTTGGGCGCATTTAATTTAAGCTTCCCTCAAATTCTTTAAGTTAAGAAAGAGTTGCAAATCCAAGATTTAAAGTGCAAAATATTAACTAACTTTTCTGTTCAAAGCGTCAACATCACCACTTTTCAATTTAATCTGTTGTTTGAATAAATTAGCCATTCTTACGAGCTGATGAATGCGACTCTAAACGAATAAAATAGTCCAAAATAATTGTCTATGAATATGAAACAGCATACCACTTCTGGACAAGACATTAATAAAAATTATAAACCTTAGTTTTGTCCACTTCGTCCTTCATGATTTCAAATTCAGTCTGAAATGAAACTCATTGGCGAAAGATTAGAATTTCTAGTTTCAACATTTGTTTTCGAATAGTTAGATGATTCGAATTGTTTGAATAAACTTTAAATTTAACCTGAAGAAAATATAAAAAGAGGATTGTTAAGCAAGCAACATACCAACTCTGGCAATAAGTTAAGGTTTTTCTCGCCAAAATAAATTGAGCCGCCGGTACCCGTTATAAACGATATGTTCTTCTCACGTGCAGCATGGAAATACATATTACCGTCAAGCATCACAAGACGGGATCTGGAGATAATTTTATAAAAAATGGACTTTGATATCCACTTCATATCTTATCAATTGTGGAATTTCAATTTGACTGGAGGTGATAAATGTCATAAGAAGTACAAGCTCTACAATCTGAAACTTGCAGGCAAATTACATTATATTGAAACGAGGCAAAGATATTACCTTGAATCATCTTCATTGAAAAGATCTGCTTTCTGACCAGAATCGGATGAGTATGAAGAACGAAATAAAGCAACCAGTAGCAGTAGGTCGAACCATAGCCTCCACATCACCTTTAATATTACTATTTAAGCAGTGAATTCTTGCAAAAATGAACAACGAGATCACAAAAACGTAGGACAGGAAGATATAAGGGAAAGAGAATAATCAACACATATGAAGACTGCTTTTATAAACCTGATATCATCATGGTTTAATTTACATTTTATATAAACTTTCAACGGAAGGGCTGATCAGCGCGATCGATTGTTTAATACGAAAGCTAACAATAATTTCAAGTGATGAAATTTTAATTTCATAAAAAAATAGCTGAACTATTCAGCGATTTACAATTATATTTGAATTGAAATAAGTTCAGTGATTACTTCCGGGAATTTAGATTTATTTGTAACTTAATTGAATCAACATGCTATGGCATGTTATCTACTCAATTAGCATTCCATCGTTTCCTGTTTCCTGAAGAATTACTTCTCATCAATGAAATTTATGATTGTCACATTAAAATATTCCACTCTGATCATCCTTAGACTAAGTCCAAAAATACTGATCATAAAAAAGTGTAACTAGTAACTCTAGTATTCGTTAACTTGCAACTTGTTACTTTTGCAAGAATAATCATCAAGTCCGTCGAAATCTCTTTTCATTACAAAAATGTTTCAGGTTTGAGATCAACTTGTTATACTTAACACAAAAGTTTAAGGACTTTCTGTCGAACTTTATGGAACCTGGAAGCTTCTTTAATTTTTCTCGTTTATATTGATTCCCGAAGTATATCATTAATGAACGCATTTTTGCTCATTCTCGCATATTCCGATTATAGAATCATTTAATGACATATGCATCGTCTTACTGCAATTGATAGAATGGTTTATCTGTTTAGTTTTTCTCATTTAACTTTTTTGTTCTCTGCACTGTCACATTCATTTGCCGTGATCTCTCAGGCATTATTCAAAGGTATAAAAGTTCTTCCGAGTAGTCCGCTCAAGGAAAACATACCAATCAATTTGTTTTTATTATCAAGTTAACATTTCTTGGCCATTTGCCAATTTATTAGACTAAACCGAACGTTGTGGGCAGTAGTTGTATTGACGCCGGCTTAAACTATTTAGCAGGCTTCACACTAATCACATCCTTCTATCTGCTTGACAGAGATTTTTTTCCATTAAAATGAAATCAATAAGAATATTTTGATCGTTTTCCACTTTGAAGATTACCTGTGTTATTACTTAACCCGCCATAATGAAGGGTATGACATATAAGCTATCGCAAATTTTCTTCTCTTATTAGCAACAAGTCGAAATTAGATCTTAATTAGGTAAGACTTAAAACTCGGTCCTTGAAATTTTAAAATTAAAATTGAAATTAAAATTTGCTTATATTTCTTGATGGTAATAGACAAGAGTGTTAATTGTTTCACAGTTTCGTATCAATAGTTTTTTTTTTGTATTTAGTTTATCATTTTGTTATGTTAACGGTTAAACGAACTCGCATTGTTGAGAAAATGGGTGCCTCTGACTGTATCTCTTTGACATTATTTCAGTTGACAGTTCATTTGTGGTTGTTAGGAAAGTTGTTAATAACGATATTATCGCTGATGACTGCCAATTAGCACCGTTTTGAATATGAGAAGTCGAGGAATTATCGATTATTTCAAAAATTCAAGTGCAGTGATTCTTTTGTTTTTTAGAGTAAGTTCTATCAGGATTGAAAATATGTGTATCGTATAAACGACTAATTCGATGATTTTATATCATCTCAGCGACAGGAATTGAACACTTTGAATTCAAGTTGAACGTTATCGTGTGATTGATGATCTAAGATCGAAAAGATGAGGAGTCAGAAAAGAAAAATGGTTTGAAATCCATTTCTGATCTCCTAACATTTGTTATGTCCACCAAAGTTATCACAAAGCATCAAGGTATTAACGCTCTTTATTCTTATGCAGATTTGAGGCAGATAGTTCCATACAAAAAGTATATGAGGACCGTGATATTTTATTTAATAATAATGTTGAACTAATAATAGGTAATGGTGATGATATATACGAGATTATGAAAATTATCAATTGTTCTATTTACTCTATTGCATCTTCGATAAAAATAAGTACATTTTTACTTTTCTATTATCCTTATCTAGTTTGCGATATTTGAAAGATTTCTGATAATTATCAAGTTAATTATATGAATCCATTTTTTATTTGAGAACAATTCGCACTACTTCACATATTCCATATTTGTGCCTTGATTTCCCAAATGAATGCTCTTTTCATTGTTCTGGTTACTAAAAATCCATTCAAATAAAATAATTGTCTACATGACAGTTACAATTGACATTCATGCATGCATTCGGTTGTTTAAAAAACATTTAATCACTGTACACATTTTATATACCGAACTGCACGATCACACTGTATTGACCTCTATTAAATTAAATGTGCAATAATGATGTCCTTGATATCAAAATTTTACATCAATTGCTTTTACCTTTTCTTTTCAGTCGACTACATTTATTTACTTAAGAACGAAAGTCGATGTTGAGAATGGATGAGGACGAAAATATTCGCATTCAGATGGATTTTTTGGAAGTTTGTAGTTTCGGTGATTTAGAACAAGCAAAGGCAATGTTGAAGAATGGGAAAATCGATAGAAGTTTTCAGCATTATGGCAACGGATGGTATGTTCTTGTTCACGTGGGCATAATCTAAAATTGAGAAGTATTTTTTAATTTTATGAATATTTTCATCTATTCGTCTACTTTCGTCAGTCATCTCTCTGGTTTTTTTTTACATTTTTTTTTAATTTGAAAATCTAATATTAAATTCAGTGAAAGCAATGTAATGTTTCAATTCATTTTTCTTTTTCATGAAGATTTACATCTCATCAGTTTTTGTTGCTGTTGTTGGTACCATCTTTATTCTTCTCTCATTTACCGGAGGCTAATTTGATCTTATATCTACTTGTATTGGAATGTTTTGGGCATTTATGAACATTTTCGTGAAAACAAAAAGAATTATGAACACCGCCAACTTATCTTAATCTTTGGACATTGATTTAGACTTAATTGTTTGACATTTACCAGGTTTACTGTAACTTGTTTTTGACTATATAATGTAGAATACATTTTTGTAAAACAAATTGAAAGTCCCACCCCGTCATCCTTGCATCTATAGACGGAACTTCTGAGTAATACACTGGATACAGTATTGTATTTTCATTGTTCAACCATTCATGATGTGTTCGATTGATCAGTACCTGAATGAAATTAATTTTGCTTATCTGCTGTTACTACTGTTGCGAAAACTACAAAATTTCGTTGCATTTTGAGTTATATAACCATTGAAATTTAAAGTTCATTTTCACGAAATAAGACTTATGATTACATGCGACTTAAAGATTGCCCGCAACTGCTTCCACCTTCTATATAAATTTGATTTTGTTCAATGTTTACTGTTTAACAATCATTCTTTAGTAAATTTAGAAAGATATCCCTCTTCATTTTCACATTTAAATTCTATTCCTAAAAAAGTAATGGTTGTAAATGAATGCATTATAATCAAATAAGTGCTTGGCTAAAGAATGCTTTGCTTACTGCATGAGAAACACACTTCTTGTGCTTTCTGAACAGTCCTATGTGCTTCTATTAATCAAATAGGACAACCAGAGACTATAGCAGTAATGATTACATGAATTGAGCATTATAAGTTAATGAAATTCAGAAAACTTGCTATTGGTAAACTTAATTTTGATTTAGCAAAACTTGAATTATTTATTAAGTGCACAGCAGTTACCATATCAGTTCAGAATATAAGCATTTGCCAAATTATAGTACCAACTTTACAGTACTATAACTGGGAAATATTTATAATTCCTGCTTTCTTGAGAAATAAATTTTTGTCTCTTGCATGGTGCATTTGTTGTCATATGCACACATTGTATATGAAAGAAAAGAGCTACTCTGAAATTATTTAATTCTTTTCATCAAATCTTGCATAAATTATGGTTTATTTGTAAAGGAATATAATTTCGTATTTTAGGACCGCTCTTCATTGGGCAACACGACGCAATCATCAGGAGATTATTGAACTCCTGCTTCAAACTGGTTTTGATCCAAAATCGCGTGCAAAAGATGGAAAAACGCCTTTGGATTTAGTAACTAGCAAGGCTGCGAAAGAAATTCTTATGCAGTTTGTAAATGTTGAAGCAAATCAAGAAAGTGCATTTTCTATTGTATTGGGATAGTCTCAAAGAGTGGTGTGCAAGAAGTAGGAAAACTGAAAATTATAAACTAAAATTTGATCAAACTGCATAGTTACACAGTTATATAACTTTATTTCCATGCAATTTATGAGCCTTCACTCGTTTTTTGTCGCTGTCAGCATTACTTTTTGAAATTTTTTTTTGCTACTTGATTTGTTTTTCATTTGAATCATACTTTCAGATGCTCCGGTCAATTATGAAGTATGCTGTTACGAAAAGCTTGATTCCTTGCATCATACTCGTTTTCTTCTAGTTCGAACAAGGTAATTCTTTTTAGTTTAGTTTTGCATGTTCTATTTTTCTTTTTTTTGAAAGTTTTTGTATGAATTTGTAACTATTACAGAGTCACTCCATTGCGAAAATTCGACTGTAATTCTTTTTCTGAGTAAATAGAAAAAAGAACAATGACACTGCATGGTTGATGTGATAGAAAAGTTTTTCATCAAAGTGACTTGCTGAGTGCTTACTTTTCATATGAAAAGCATATGTGAACCATTTTGAACGATTTCAGCAATGCGAATGGAAAAGAATGTTTCAAACGTATTGCCTTTCCTGAATGTGGCTCCATTGATGTTCTGAAGTTGACAATTGAAAGAGCCATGAAAAAAGGAAAAGTTTTAGAAGTAATTACATTGCCAGACAAGGTGAAAATAAAGACAGAAGAGCAGATTAAAGATTTGGCAGATCATCAAAAAGTAGAAATTATCTTCAACTCAGTTGTGATGAATAAGGTACTTTTCTTATTTAAAATTTATTGAATCCATTGGAAAGAGGAGCCAGTAACTTTTCCAAAAGTTCGGAAACAATGTTATTCATTAAATTTTCAATTAGTTTAATTCAATGATGTTGGATTATTTGAAAAAATACAGGAAACGAATTGCGCACAGAAATTATTACCGGATGAGGTCAAAATTACGAGCTCAAAGTGTGACTCAACGTTTGAGGAGAAATTCGCCAATATGATTAATGAACATTCAAATGAACTCACATCTTATGACAGATCCACTGATAATATCATATCACTTAATGACACTGTTAACTGTAGCAATGTTGATGATTCCTTCAGCATTATGAAAAGCTCAGGTAAAGACTAAATATATATATATATTTTTTCTTTTGTCTTCGTTGATCTTTCGGCACTTTGCAAGAGCATCCCACAACGCAGGTATTTGCGAAAAAAATGAAATTGATTTTGATTCCGGAGTAACGCCTTGCTGTTGGTACCTTTATCGTACTTTGTCGATTCTCTCTTCCAGTATGCCGGCTTCGTTCATATAACTATTGATCACGTATCATCAGACTAAAAGCTTGCGGTAAAATGATTTATGAATGATTTGGATTTTATTCCTAAAGTTTCAATTTTTATTTTTTCTAATTGAGTGACGGTATTTAGATTCAATCTCTAAAGAGCAACCGAAATTGTCTGAAGTAGCAGTGACATCCGAATACTCGTTAACTGCTCAGTCCTCAAGTTCTATCACTGATATTGTAATTCCATGTAAAATATTAACCAAAGAAATGATTAAGCTGGAGGTAGTAGTTAGCTCACAGCAGAATAATGACGAAATCGATTCGGGGAAATCTGTACAGGTTGGTTGCATTCTTCTGTCAATTAATAAGCCTCTTCAAAAATTAATTAATTGATAAATTAGCATAAAAGTGATAGTATCTTTTAAATTAGCAAATAAATTTCGAATATCTACATTTTTCTCGCTCAATATTTACCAGTTAAAGTCATTGCCTTTAACGCTTGCAACTGAACGATTTTTTATAAATCGCAGATTGAATGAAATTTGATAACGCATTTCCAGATGCTAAAATCGGAAACAAAGGAAAATTATAAGTCAGCAGAATCCGATAGCGAGATAGGAACGGAGCCTATAATATTGCCGCTTTTACCACAGATCGACGTAAATGACAGAATTTTTTGCTGTATTACAGAATCGAATTACTTTGCTGCTATTCGAGTAAAGTTATATATTTTTTCAAGCTAAAAATATTGTTTTCTTTATATGATATTTTTATTGTATTACTTTATTACATTGAAATTTATTCGTATGAGATACATTATTATCATCAACTGAACACAGTAGCTCAGATCTATAGTCATTATAAGTATTTTGTAAAACCGATAGCAAATTTAATCAATTGAGTTTAGTTAGCTAATGCAGGCAACGCATCTTCTCGATTTGAAATTAATGAAACATTGTGCTAAAACAGCTTTATCTGAACAGTCTTTGGTTATAATATATATTTACAAGTAGATATATACATGTTATTACAGGAAGAATGGGATGGAGTTAAGAGCAAGGACGTTCCACACAAAAGAAAGCTTCAAATAGCGTTGCTTATCGGTTGTGTCGTTGGTTTTGGTGGTTTAACATATATGATTTGCAAGAAATGAAGAAGTTGAGCAGTTGTAGTTTTTGAAACTTTGTTAGATAAAAGTTAGATAAACTATCTTTGTATTTCTTTGTTGCTGTGTTTTGGGAGTTTGATTTTCCGGACTTCTATCCTTTTTTCAAGAAAATATCATGTGTTGTCCTATTATGTGCCCTATTTTCTTTGTTTATATATTGCTAAAAATGAGGATTTTTGGTCTTAGATTTGATTCCAAGAAAGCAATTTATTGAAGAACTATGCTAACTTAATTACATTAAAGTTGAAAATTTAGTTTCGTAAAAGAAAATTCTAGTTCATAACATAATGTAAATCATTTTCGCATTTTTTGTTTTCTGGTAACATCATTTATTTTTTTTAAAGATGCAGCGTGGAAATATTCAACATGAATTAATAAATTATAATAATTGTCTACCAGTTGCAATTTAGTTTTCTTAACTTCCAATGAAAGAACGAATTTTATTCAAATCTTAGACTGTACTCTCAAATTATGATAGTCACAAAATAGATTGAGTATTGATAGAATGCTTTGGTGGTATCTCCTATTATATTGTCAAGTGCTGCATATTTAGTCATCGGAGATATGTGTGTGTGTGTGTGTGTGTGTGTGTGTGTTATAACACCATTCGTTAGTTAAAAAGAATACGAGATCAGCCAATTCCAAAATTTGAAATTTAAAATGGTTGCATGGTTGAGCACGAGTACCAATTAATCCTATAAGTCTTTTTGGAAGAGCTAATAGCTCCTCCAACTTTTTCAAGTGATTTGAGGAATTCCCTGACTTTGGCAGTAAGGTTTTTGTTAATTACTTTGAGCAACAAAGTCTCAAATGTATTCAAGCAAATGTTGGAATTTATGATGACAAAAATTAACAGAATGGTTTATGGAAATGCGGCAGACACAAAAAGCAGTATCTAGAAAATTATTCAAAATATCTTATTGAGCTAATAAAGAGCTAATACTTCTCCAATGTCTTACTGAAAGAGCTAATACTCCTCCAACTTTTTCAGGTGTAAAAAGATAGTGCATACATTCTTTGTAAATGGAAAGCTAAGGTTTTTTGACATTTTTTGTACCTTGTTCTTATTTATTGCATATAATAGAAAGCTGCCTTTATGAGAACGGCAATTTCGTTAATACTGAATTTTAAATCAATCGTTTGAAGAATGTCTAAGCTCGGACTTACTACCATGTTCATTAAGCTGGTCAAACACCGTTATGGTACACCTTCATATATTATGTGTATGAAATATTCTCACTTTATATGTTCTCGTAATTTTCTTAAATTTTTGAGAATTTTGAACATATATTTTATATTTCTGTTGATATTGAAAGGCAACCTTTCTTCATTTGTCGTAAAAATGTTAATCCTTGATAGAAAGCCAAGCCTAATGCACTTAAAAAAATGCTCCAAAGTCATCGCTTGAATGTAAAGTTCCAGTATTAGTAATTATCCGAAAGTTAAATTTGCTGAATCGTAATTGATACGAAAGCTGAAAGGGGAGGAATTTTGGAAAAAACGAAGTTCAGTGTTTATAAATTTGTGGAAGATTATGCATGATTTATTATACATTTTTACGACTATTATTTACTACGTTTTCTACTTTACTAATTAGTTGTTCGATAATATACATCGTTTACATGAATTTTAATATCAGAGGAGGTCTATTAATGAATTTTTTAAAGGATGATCAAAATTATATGAAGACAGTTTAGGGTAAGTATATTTGGTTCTTCAGTAGGGGAACAGATGAATGCGCATGTCTAAAATAGCGCGGAATGAATGGAATAACAGACTCTAATAGAAGACAACAATGAAAGATCAGAAAAGTTTGCTACCGAGGAGAAAGGCCTAATCTCATTTGGTGAATGATAATAAATATGATGAGCTGAAGATGAAGTGATGTCAGCTGATCAACAATAGTGTAGAATGAGTGAACAATTTGCGTGGCTGAGAAAAACAATCACTCATTTCGATTTATTTCTTACAATATCACAAATGAGGAGAGTTCCTGTTCTATAGTCATTCATTTATAACTTAAATTGTTGTCTGTTTCTTGTCGGGATAGGCAGAATGAACTTTGCATTTCTTTATGATTAAATTTCTCGCTTCGTAAATTTCATCAAAAAAACTTTATCAGTCAATGCTGACAGTAGTAGATCAAAGTAATGAATAAAATGAAAATGGGTGAAAACTACATAGAATAAAAGTCTTGAAGTAAAGTTAATTATGGTAGTTAATGTTCTTAATTGAACAGAAGTTTGCTATTACTTTTTCCTTTTTTGATATCGATGTTGAAAAAGACACACTTTTTGTTTCTAGAATTTAATGATTTATGATCGAACAGATAAAGATAAGGAGAGGGAGAGAGAGAGAGAGAGAAGAATAAGAATAAGGCAGAAGAATTTTCGTATCAGAGATGAAAGAAGAAGGGAAAACGGTATTGCGAATGCTATTTTGAAATGTATATTGGTCCGATTTGATTCTCATTGAGAATCACATTTTTTTTATTTACGAATATTTGTTGAGTACGAAATGATTCTCCCTTGACTATGTTTCTGTGATCCATTTTCTGTTTGATAATTTAGTTGGTCACTGAAAATACTATACTATCTAACGATATTCTGTTCTATTCAATTCTATCCTATCCTATCCATCATCCAGTTTTCTAATTCATATAATGATATCGTATAAAACAATTAGATCGGATTAATTTTTTTTTAATGATAGCGTAAATTAAAGGTAATTTCTGCACACAATCAGCCATTCATAAATTTTATCCATCAGTGTGTACGTATACATATATATGTATGAGCGAGATATTAACTTTTAATTAATTTCAGAAATTCTTCTTTCGTTTTTGCATCTTCCCGGAAAACATCTAGCATACAGCTGGTAATAGTAACTGCGTTGATTTTTTGGATACCACGCATAACCATACACATATGACTAAAATACTTCAATATTTCAAACCATATGCTTGCTTATCTAATTTATAACATAACAAGTTTTATTATAAAACATTCCTATATATACGAAAATGTAGAAGAATTTAATATTAATGTCTAAACTGTTAAATTATTTTGCAAATATCAAAAAAGAATAAGGATAAAATTAATTAAATAGTGTAAATATCAAAAAACAAACAAACCTAGCCTCTATAATAACGCCAACACCAAATGGTTGTATCGCATTAGTTAACGCTATTGCTATTTGCTTCGTTAATCGTTCTTGCACTAAATTCTTATTATTATTTACTTATTATTTTAACAAGTAATATGCATTAAGTTTATTGTAGAAATTCATATGATAAGTTAGTGATTTACGGATTGAAAAAATGACTTATCATTTTAGTCTAAATAATTAAAAGTTTATTAACATTTATAAATAAATTAAAATTTATTAGAATTAAATTATGCCTTGTAGACGTCTACTGAACATTTCAACAATACGTGCGATCTTGCTGAGACCTAAAATTTTCTTATTCGGTTTGTAACCAATATGTGCCTTGCCAATGAAAGGTACCAGGTGATGTTCACAAATGGAAAAAATCTCGATATCCTTGACGATCACAATATCATCATGATCTTCGTTAAATACTGCTCCATTAATCAAATCTATAAGTTAAACAGAGCTAACAAAATGCCTATTCTTAAATTATATTGACCAACAAAATTAATTAGGCTTAACGGTTTTAAGATTAATAAACTTTTTCATTTTTAAACCTTAACAAATCAGTCAAACTGCACCTTCTCTGTTTATTCCTCGATTGATTTGATAACACAACTTTGTTTTTATGAAAAATTTTGGACAAAGTGAAATAAAAAATTATGTTTCGTTCAAGGGATCTACAAAATCAGCTTATCAGTTATATTCTGTTTGATCCTTAGAATTATCTTACCACTGGAATGCTTTCGTCTGCAAGTCATATCTCAACAATAACATTCTTCCCGTATGATTATTTTGCTGAAGCAGAAGTTGAAAATCATATGAGAAACAGAATTGTATGGTAGTAAATTCACCGTCCAAATTGTCTTCATAGCCTTTGGTGAAGAAAAGCATAGCTTGTGCAGCTCTCTCAGGTGTTTTAATTAATTCTTGACGATTGCAATCATCTCCGCAACATCGGATAATAGTTTCGTATGCTTGACATAAATTTTGATGCTTTGTCGAAAGCATTGATGAATGTTTCGCCACATTGTTGCATTGAACCTGTTGCATCTGCATATTCTTCTATATTTTCCTGATTCATTGTAAATCTTTTTTAGCGCAATTGTAAGTTATTTGCAAAGAATTTTATGGCAAAAAAGTATGAAATGAGGGAAGAATATACTCCATGATAGGAACATTTCATGGTCCAACATTTTCATTTTTCTACTGATTTTTTAGGCATAGAAGTTTAATGTCTATCTTTCGAATTTGTATTGCTTTTCTCTTTTTCAAAAAATCATAAATTTTACAGGAATTTAACTAATAGATGGATCTTTTTAATATCATTCGTGTGGAGTGAAAAAATTTTTGATTTAAGAGTTTTTTTGAACTACTATCAGAGTTTTGTAAAAATTTTTCGTAAATATATGAAATTAGTTTTGAAAAAAATTGAAGTGAAGAGCAACTTTCTTAGATTGAACAAAATAAAATAAAGAGATAGAAATGCATTCTAAGATTATGATCTGTCATCTTCGTAAGGAACAAAATTAACGCGGAAGAAGTTTAAATGAGGCATTAAAATATTTTATTTACTTTGAGGTTAAAAGGTTAGAAAAGGTTATTGAAAGTCTATTCAATAAACTCGGTCCATCCATAGTGATATAAAAAATGAAATAATTTTATAAAACAATTTTATATCTAAATAATCAAAATATTTGCATTCTGAAAATTTGTTCAATTTTTATGATTTATCAATTCATATGTAAACAATTCTTCCAGCTTAAATTTTATACGTCTTAAGCACCTGGCAAAACTATATCTTGAACATGTGGTAATCTAATTCACACAAAAACCCTTCCATTGAGTTTATATTTTAAGTATGGTTAAATTATTATAAAATATAAAATAGCTCTTTTGCCCACATAGTTATTTTTTGTATCCAATAGGATTATACAACAATATCACTTAATATAGAAGAAAATAGAATTCATTATTTAGCTTTTCTTTTCCCCCTTTTTGTTGCTTCTATTACTTACTACTTCTTCTATGCGATTCGACTTTCTACAGAGAACTTTCGCTTCATCTTCTTAACCACTGTGTTCTCTTCGATTGCAAGCGACTCAACCAACTCTTTACCAATTCCCCCATTCAAACTTCTAAACGATTACTTCAATAACAAAAAAGAAATTTTCGCCTATTGACATTAAAATTGTCATATAATATTACCGCTAATGTTCCGCAAAGAATTATCCTTTAAAACAATATTTGTCCTACGAAAAAATACGCTAATCAAATCAAAAACATTCACAATAACTGACAACTGATATTCGCTTTTTATATCATTCACATTCCTCAAATTCTCTTTTTTTTTGTTTATAAAATTCCATTACTCCTGCATAAATAATCTCTCGATACTTACGAAGAAGATCACTAGAAAAATGCATTTGAGAAATTATAAATACTTCTGGCTCCGTTATAGAAAATTGGAAATATTTAACTCTGTTGGATAGCTAAAAAAATAGGCCAACTACTGCTATTCTCATAATCATACCTTCAATACCACTGATGGCCGATAATTTTCGAAGTTAACTTAGATTGATAAAATAATCAAAATGTTAGCCAGCTATTTCAATTAAAAAATTAATAATTAACACATATAAAAATAACTCAATTATACGACTATCAATTCTACGTTTAATATTAATCTTAAAAGAATTGTCATCAAAAAATAAGCATTACTATTACTAAAGACATGGCAAAAAAAACCGAAACAAATAATATGAGAATAATAATTATGAAACTATACGAATAAAGAACACATAATTTTGCAAATAAATTATTAGTTTAAACATCTTTTATTTGGAAAACAAAAATACCAAAATATTATATTCTAAAAAACTAAAATTATAAAAACCTTTGTTTCATTAACACATAAAACAAAATTCTAAATATAAACTATTATAATAAATACCTATACCATATTTAATAAAGATACATAAATTAAAGTTAAAAAAAATCAACTAACCAAATTTTACTGAAAAAATATGGTACAAATATGATTGCAATATGCCTACATTAATTGCTCCAGGCTTTCTAAAGAAATGAAAAATGTCATTGTAGCATGTAGAGAAGAAATTTGAGAAGCAATTTAAACCAAAATGAGATATTTCCTGATAATTGACGATATGTAATACCGCCTCATAGTTCTTATACAACACCGCTTCAATTATGTGTCTTGCCTATTAAATGATTTATATAGAGCAAGATAATTATGCATGAAATAGTTTTGTGCGATATCGAAATAGAAAAAAAGGATAAAATGCGGGATTGAAAATGAAAGATAAGTAATAGCTCAGATGAGGTCAAGAAAATTGAAAAAGTATTGGAAAACTGTAAGATAACGAAATATAAGAAAGGTCAAGCATAAAGTAAAGAAAATATGAATGCAAATTGCAATAAAAAATTTAAATAAAAATAAATTCTTTCATTTGGAAAACTAAATCAAAAACAAAATATTAGCTATTGTTTTTGTAAATTTTGGCAGTTTTATCCATTACTTGCCTTAATGAATTATTTGCATACATTTTTCATCATGCAAATTCATGCCAACTTATCATTACTTATTACAGAATATTAGATAAGGTGTAATAAATCGATCGTTCAAATTGATGTTATTTGTTTCCATCGGTCTGTTTTTGATAACAATCGGAAAGTATGCAAGCTACTCTAACCGATTTAAAACAGTCAGAAACTCAAGGTGGTAATATTTTTTTTCGCTTCATAATTTTAGTAATTATATTTTTCATCTTAGCGTTAGCTTTAGATTAAATAAAATTAAACCTCATAAGAAATTTTAATATATTTTGAATAAAGTTCGAAATGAAGAAGAAAGCAAATTGAGAAAAAGGATGAGGTCGCTAGCACTTGCAATTTGTTTAATTGATAGTCTCAAAAACATTGAATAAGTAATTAAAATAACTTGCCTTAAATGAGTAAAAGAAGTTGGAGAATCAACTAAAGTTGACAAAGTAATTAATTGCTTTGAGTGTCAAACTATTTCCGCCTTTCATTTTCCTTCATCTTTTAATGATCTCTGTTATCGGAATAGATAATGAGCAAGATTTATTCGAAAAAGCAATCATACGAGCGTATGCGCAAAGATCAGCATTGTTTGAGCCAAAAGCAATACAACCACCCGATCCGACAGTTGTCGATGATACACTTCAAGAAGGATCTCAAATGCAAGATGGCGAACTTACTAACGAAGTCTATTCCTTTCCATTATTGAATATCGATAAATTTTTATTTAAATAGTAGAAGTAAATGAATGGTTAGATAAAAAAAACGATTGCTTTCAGCTTTCTGATATGACCAATGCAGATGATAATGCTCAAATTCATGCAAGATCGCTTTCCACGAAGGTTTTACTTACCTTAAAGATTTTGACTGCTACTTTATTAATCAATAAAATGATGTTTAATATTTGCAAATAATGTGAAATTATTTATAATACGGTCAATTAATCATTTACATTCCAAATGAAAATAAATTAAGCTAAATAAAGATAAATAGTTCTAGTAGAATTATTTTGTGGTTCCTTCATTTTGTCATATTTATTTTGTTCATTAGATACAGTTATTCATTAAAATTTTAAACGACCCACGCATTTGGTCACTCACTGCACTGAACTTCCTGATAGCACTGATATGTCTTGCCATACTTGCCATTACGACAATTTCTCTTATCAAAATATCCGATGTCAAGAAAATGGTTTAATTCTTTCTCATCTTACATAGTTTATCATTTGGTGTAATTATTGATGTTTGAAAAGTCTTAATCATTTATATCTGTGTTTTAATTAATGTTGTCACAATAATAAACAAAACAAATAAAAAAGAGAAAGAGAAAGAGAGAGAGATTTTATAGATAGCACAAATCTCCAATCGTGAACAACCATGTTTATACCAATGGAGTGAATGGGGTCAATGCTCGGAAACATGCTTATCCTCTTCACGCCTACCCTCTCGATCACGTCATGTCCTTAAAAAAACCATTATCCAAGCTCGTGGCCATTTTCCAAGCTGTCCCAGTAATTTGGCAACAATGACCGAACATATGCCATGCAACGTTTACCGGTATCTACTAATTTCTAATATTAAAAAAAATATTCATTTGAATTTTCATACAATTTTCATACTTTTATGAATATCTTTGTGAGGTTTTTAATGTCATACAAGATCACTCGTATCTGTTGCAACAAAGATTTCAACGGATCAAATTAGCTTAAAAATAATTTATTAAATGTAATTTAGATGTCCAGTAGCTCTGAGCTCATTTACTAATTGGACCCAATGTTTCTACAAAGATCCTAATATTGGTGAAGCAGGAGGTTGTTACCGAATGCGTGATCTTCCTATTACCAATCAGCTCATCCATATTGATACTGATAACATTGTTATTGACTGTAATTGTCCCGATCATATTGTTTAAATACTTTCTTTTTTATGCCATAATTTTACAAATATATAACGTTATTAAAAAAAGAAATTACACATTGTATTAATTGGAAGGGAATTGTTGAAAGCGATTTTCTTGTTTAAGCAACTTGCAACAAAAAATTAACCTAATTTTGAATTAAATGAAATGATCGTCCGTTAATGGAATCATAAATTTTCATTAAAATTTCTTTATTACACTCCTTTTATCTCATTGCAATATTAGAAGATGAGATAAATCTGCAAGTGAATCGGAAATTTACTAATATTGAAAAACTGCAAATGTTGTAATTTGAACTTATCATAAGTCAAAAATTGCAGAATTTTGGTTCCTCAGATTACTTTTATTTCAAAAACCGTAGAAATATTTTCTAAAGCAAATACAAATCAAATGTGTTGTAGAAGGCAGAGCTATTATCTATTATAGAAAAGACATGAATAATACTTAAAGTGAAAGAAAAACAGAAAAATTTTTGAAATAAGGTTTAGTCGGATTTACCTAAGAGTGTGCCATATATTGATATATTGATAACTTTTATAATTTGATGTTTATAATTTAATGTAATTTTATGCAAATTTGTAGCGCTGCGCATCATCAATCATTTTGAATAAATAATATAAAATTGAATGAAAAACAAATTAGGGCATTAGCTTTCAAACAATTGCTTATGAAAGTGGCAACTGATCCTAAAATGAATTCAATCGCTTCACAGGAAAGTAGCATTTATTTATTGTTTCTTTATTTCATTTAAATATAGAAATCGTATTTTGCTTTTATTGACGGAAATTTAACGTTGGAAGTTGAAAATTCGTCAAAATTAGTACAAAAATTGAATAATAATAAATATAACTATCAAGCAAAAAGTTTGTTCTATATGTGATCGCATATTGAACATGCCTTATATCCATCGATTTCTCTTAAAGAAAAACAAAAGGCTGGACTAATTAATAAGGATTGAATGCCATAATTGAGAAAGAAGTAAAACAATAACGTATGATTCATATGATCCTTTAGAGAAGATTTTCAGAAGATGAAAATGAATTGCTTAGTGCAAAGATCGCACGTGGATATGCGCGAAAATCAGTATTATGCAATGAAAAAGCAATATTTCCTCATCAGGAAGAACTCCAACAAAAAACTCTTGACGAAAAATCTGAAAAAGATGGTTGTTTAACACAGGAGGTATCTTCTGAATTCACTAAATAATTGAAGCCAAAACATGTGTGTCAAAAGAGTTTTATGTGAAAATAATAATGTAGTTGATGAGTGAAATTATTTTCATGTAGCTAATAAATGATTTTCAATTACGAATTAGTAAAAACAACTTTTCAGCTATCTGATATAACTGAAATAGAGGAAAATGTCGCCTCATATTCCTTATCTTTTTTATCCTATCTATATAAGGTAAGAATATCTTATTAATTAATTGCTTAATTTTCACATAATTCAGCAGTTCTAATTATTTTGCTCAAGATTATAATTTGTAACAATTGATTAATTCATACAATTATTCTGACCGATATCTCCTAATGAATTAATTACTTCACTGCTAATTACGATATCTTGCCTTTCGATTTTGGTGTTGGATTTCTTTTCTCCCTTCAACAAATTTTAACATTTTGTAAATTTCATCATTACTTGCAGCGTATGATGCATGATGAATGCATGCGAATGCTAACTGCGCTAAATTTTATGATAATTTTATTATGCTTTTGCTTATTTATAAGTGTGATAATCTTCCTGGTTAAGGCACATAATATCAATAACATGGTATGTGTGGCAGTTTCTTGTTACTAATTAACTCAATTTTAAGAGAGTCGAACTAATTTGACATTTGTTTCTAATTTTTACCGAATGAGATGAAAATGAAATTAAATTAAATAGCTTAAATTTAAAGAAAAATTAAGATAATGCAATTCATCATAATTGGCTTTAAAGAAGATTAGATAATTACAAGTTACATAAAAACAGCGAAAATTTTTGTTTTTCTAGCGCATATATTATCAGCAAACTTTTGACACACTTTTCTATCTATATATCAGAAATAAGTAAAATATTTAGTAATAACTTATCACCGTTAAGTAAAGTAAATTCCGAAAAATGCTTTGGTAAATAAAATGCTAATGAATCAGCAAGTGGTAATAAATTCTAAGCATAGAAGAAATAATAAAATTATATTATGCACTCAGGTAGTTTACTTTTGTTTAATTAAATTTTCATAAATGTTATCGAAAAAGCGGAACATTGTAGAAAGTAAAAATTTCTGAAAACGAATTGCCATGCATGTATCAATGGAGTGAGTGGAACGCATGTTCAGAGACATGCATGAGCACATCAAAAATGCCTACCCGATCACGTCATGTAATTAAAAAAAGCATTATTCGCTCTCGCGGCAAATTCCCTCCTTGTCCTGAAAATTTGGCAACAATGGTTGAAAGAATGCCTTGCAATATTTATCGGTAGTTGCACATTTTTTCAAATTCTTTTCTTTAAGAATTAACATATGTAAAATATTTAATTTAATTTCAAAAATTAAATATTTCATGTATGCATTACAGATGTCCAGTGAATCTCAGTTCAATAACCGGGTGGACACAATGCTCCTACAAGAATCCAAGTAAAGGTGAAGCAGACGGTTGTTATAGAATACGTGACATTCCAACTGTTAATCAACTCATTTATATCGATACCACAAATGTTATGGAAGATTGCAAATGTCCATCTATCATTTTCTAAACTTCTACTTAGTTTCTTTTGTTTTTATAAAGTAAATATTTCATTCATTGGACTGTACCTGTAAAAGAAAAAAATTATTTCATTTATTTGTTTGTGCGGCTCACTTTATCTTTTTGGTTAAGATTTTTTGATTGCACTGTTAGTTCAAAATCTGATTGCCCAGAAAATGTAATCAATATTTATATCCGATGATATTTCTTCGTTGATTAATGATGATCATGATATGTATCGTATTGAAAAAAAAAGTAATCAACGTAAAATCTGTTTTTTAGAACTCTTTACAATAATGAGTATTAAATAAATCAATTCATAATAAATCAATTCTTCTGAAGGTTTTCTTACAGTAATGTAAGTTCAATTAAAATTAAGGATGAAAATTTAAAGTGGCCAATGACCATTTATTCATCATTTTGCTTTCTTTCAATGAAAGCAATATATTCAGTTTTAATTTGTTGCAACCGAATATGCCTAAGTGTTGTTGTTGTTATCAAAAAAACTTTTATAGACGATAAGTTGTAGCGATTAAAGCAACAAGCAAACGGGAAAAATTAAAATTAAAAAACTAAAATTCACTAAAGAACAGTGTCAAATTCTCATTTTTATGTAATAATTTCAGTAATTCCTGTTGCTGTTTCCGGTTCCAACTATAATTCACATGTACTGCCATATGTTCCATTGGAGCAAATACGACATTCTACCAGTGCATCGCCGTTTATAAAACAGTCGCCCCGATCTCTTCAAATTGATTTATTAAAAGAAAAAAATATAAAATCTTTTGGAATATGCCCATTTTGCTACATATTTTCAATTTTTGAAATGAAAATAGGGGATAGAACCCTAGGAAAAAAGGCCAGAATGAAATGTTTTCATAAGATACAATGATACAGATAATGTACATGTCTTTGAACAAATGTTCACAGCATGCCAACTAATCTCGAATGATTACCGGATCACGATTACCGGATCATGTAATGGACTAATCATATGTATATGAGATCGTACTCTCGTCTAAATTTTTCAGAAAGACGAATCGAACTATTTCCCTATTGATATATCACTCTATTAATTTCAGGATATCTGTTCAATATTTCTTCCTAGCTCCTTCCAAATACGTTAATAAAGAAACTTACGGACATGGACATGGAATACAATCTTCTGCTGTACCATGTGTCGCATCACCATAAAAACCTTGTGCACAATTTTCACATTGATTTCCAGTTGTGTTATGTAAGCAGGACTGTGATGAAATTTCATCAGTTCTATTAAAAATAATTGTTTGAAAGCTAAAAACTTCAACTAAAAGTTAGTACAAAGTGATGCTTTCAGAATCTATGAATCTTACCAATATATTACTATTAACCATCCTTTTTAATTTTTTCAATTTAGTCCCTCTCATCTTTAACTCATTTGCAAATTTCATTCAGTTGTATCGAAAATACGCTACTGTTAAACGAAATGATAAATGCTTACAAAACATTCACCGTATTCATTACAATCTGTGGAATGTTTGTTACACATGCACTCTTTGAATTCGTTGCTTTTACCAAGTGGTACACAACCTATTCCATCTATTAAAGCGCTACCACCAAATCCATCTAAACATCTGAAAAGACATATGATCATGCCGAGCAGGAATGGTAGTATGCTTGATATGCTAATGGTGTTGGCAGTGATGAAACTTGATCTCGTAATGTTTATTTTAAATGTTTATGGTTTCTCAAATGAGAGATTGCTTGATCTCGTATTCTATTTATTATTTTGCAGGGACCGAAATCGCTATTATTTAGGATTTCAATTAAGCAATAAAACTAATGCTTCAATAGATTTATCATCAAAACTTCATCCTATAATTGATATCTTCCTTAGCTTACTTTTCACATTGTACTCCAAATGTATTATCAGCGCAATTCAAGCATTCGTGAGTGAATGGACCACAAGTGAACGAATGACCATTGCAAAAGCAATCGCCTTTGTATCCAAGGTAGATCCAATTGCAAATTGGAATGGACTTTCTAGAGAATCAATTCATGAAATGAAATATCTTTTTCAAATTCTTCAAAATGATTTAACAGTATTTCAATATCGGATAGAACTTACTCGGCTTTTATTCGGTTTTTCTTATCCCTTATTTCAGCAGCATATGTTGCTAACTCAGCACTGAGCATTTGAGCTGTGAAATTCCCATTCAATCGGTGCTCTTCCAACTTCTGCAAAAAAATTCAACAATTGTTGCAAGTCGCAGAAAAAGAGCAAGAAACGAATTAGAATGATTGAAAAGATTTTTTTTAATTTTTTCAATATGTTGTAAAGAAAAAATTTTATATTCCCATAAAATTTTACCTCAGCAATTTTAATGCCAAACATCCGGCGAATAAATCGTTTACATCCGGATTCGATTATCCTTTGTGCATCCATTTTCTTCTTATGCTCAGCTTTTTCATAAAATTCAAAGATGCGTGCATAAACGACATCATCACTTATTTCGTGATCTTGAATCAAATGACCAAGTTCGTTCTTCTGTAAAAGAGTGAGATGAAATGACTATGCAACCATTATCTGGATTTGTTCGTGATATCTCATTTCTTGAGGATTGTCAACCTAAAAGAAGTTAAGCAGTAATGAGACGATCCAATTAAGACAATAATTTAAAGTTTTAGCTTTTAAACTTTCCTAAAAATCAATTTAACATCAAAATTTAAAGTTCATTTTCATGTTAACAGAACCAAACCTGATCGGGAGATAGCCATGATGTTAATTCACCAAGATCGAAACTTTCAATAGCATATATCTTCTGACAAAAAATGACTAGTTGATCCGCTTCGATACGTTGATTTTCATTTGTTAAATTTCCTACCAGTTGAGTAAATTTATTCACTAACATTTCCGCGAATGTTAACTCCTTGTACATGGATTGCATTTCTTCAAGGGCAACAGTTCCGAAAAGTTGCTTCACTCGGTTTTGACAGAGCTGTTTTAATTCGCTGAAAATTTCGAAATTGAATAAATAAACTATGCCAAAATTCTCAAACTAAGGTTTAGACTGTGTTCGTTAATTTCAAAAAGTTTTTTTTATTGAATTCTAATATCTTATTCCAATTTTGTCCTTGGAATTTCGATTACTCAATCAATCCAACAAAGATGATTAAATACTCAAACTATATCTTCTCCTTGAATTAAAACGCCAATTTTAACTTTTAAAACCAACAAAAATCGTGGTATGAAATTGTCGGCATAGATATCTTAAAGCAATTATTTATATAATTAGCAGTCGACAAATGATTTTAACTTATAATTGATATTATTTCTTGAAAAAATATAAATTAATATTCATTAATTTTTCTTTCAAAAAAAAAAATTTACTCGGATACTTTTTCTTGGCTTAACGAATCGAGATTTTCGTAGTATTCCAAAATTTTTGCCAAAAGTTTTCCATTTTTTGCACCTTCTGATAACATTGTTTCAATTTCGGTCTCCTAAAATTTGCACCGTTGTTTCTTCAAAGTTCTTTAGAGGTTATTATATTCGAACTTGAAGTAATAGAAATGAATAATTTCCATTTTTAAACTTTACTTGTTCCTTAGTAAACCAATGAATTTGTTTGACGAATAAATTATCTTCATTGATTTTTCTTGGGGATCGCACTGATGGTGATTGATAAATATTATAGACTAACATGCAAGTTGGAGCAACCTAAAAAAGTTTTCTTTGAACTCTAAAATATGAATTTTTTCTTTCAATAAATAAAGAATCTTTACATCATTTTATATTGAACAGTAACAGCTAAATAATTTTATTTTAATTCTCTAAAACTTTATTTGTAATTCAGGAATCTTATTCCGGAAGATTGAATTTTTATAGCAAATTTTTTATTTATAAATAAAATGTTTACCATGTTAGCATACTTTTTATGTGTTTCACTCATTTCCACATAAAATTCCTTCAATTTTTCATTAATTTCTTCTCCTGTTCGACCAAAATTATACAAATTAGCAATTAATTCATAATTATGATCGCCCAATATCACTCGCAATAACTCTTTACATGTTTCTCGAAAACTTCGTAATGCCTATAAATTATAGTTTGAAATTTGGTTATTCGAATTATTAAGCAATCTGAGCAATCGCAAATTTTTTGCTTTCTTTTTTCGCCGACTAAAATAAAAACAAATTTTACTTATCGAAAAGAGAATTTAAAGCAAATTTGGTGCGGAAAAATTTGCCTCTGTTACAGTTTTAGACTTAATTTCCGTCTAAATTTCTGTAGAATATAATACGATCGGAGAGAAAAAAAAATAAAGAAATTGTAGGATCGATTCGATTTAACCTTCAGGACAATAGATTACAATTGTTGTTTTAGTTCTGACAGACGAAGTATAGCCATGACAAAGATGATATTACAAGATGATATTAGTGTGAATCAAATTACGAAGTAGATTTAATGGATAGTTATGCTAATAATTATAAAATCATGAAATTAATAACAAAATTAGTTCTCGAAAATGATGAAAAGATGATTAAATAAAATGTTATTCTAAAAAATTATAAACGAATTTTTTCTGTTTACCAGTTAATTCCTCAAAAAGACCCGCGAATAAATTATGACATCAAAATAGATAATAACCCGATCATTTATTACGCTGTCAATTCTAGAAGAGAATATTACTTTATCATGGAGCTGTCATCCAAAAACTTGTTCATAAAAAGTGCTACATTTTAATTTTTATACTACATTAGTTAATGTGATGAAAATTTAGAGAATCATAGATGGTCAAATTTTGAAATTTGAAATTTTACTTCACTACTTACCATCTCTCGTAATCCGCCATCAGTCATAAGTAGTTGAATGTATGTTTCTTCTAACACCATTGCTATATCATCTGTTGTTTTATACAGCTTGTTCAACATATAAACCTGTTCCATGGTTAACCATTTCCACATATTTAAATTGCCAATTTGTTCCCATTTTACATTTCTTCCTTCCTCTGTATATCTCTCAACCGGAATAACCAAAATCATGTCTTCTCCTGAAAACAAGTTCAGTAAGAGACAGTGAAAACACTTAAAATTATTCCACATTGATTTAAAATATTATCTAATGTCTTTGATATTAAGATACGTTAAAGCATTATCACTAGTAGATGAATGGAATCGTAGTTTTTCCTTTTCCTGCTCATTTTGCATCAAATACAACATCTTGGTATATCTTTTTTTCCTGAACAATCGCCATGTGAGAAGAAAGTAATGAAGAGAAGCTAACTTTCATCTGATTCGAAATTCTGAGGTCTTAATCGTCGAGTTATTGGTTTTGCATTTCGTTTCAATAGTCGTCTAATAATTGTCGCTGATTTCCAATGTATTGGTTGCTCAGCTTCTGTAAGGAATTTGACAACTTGGTCATCTTGATTCACCAATGATAAGCTTCCAAGTTCATTTCGAAGCTATAATGATATAGTTTTAAATCTCGAACAACTCCATTTTATCTAAATATGACATATGTTCTTATTTCTTTAGCCAAGATTTAAATTTGCCAATTTGAAAATATTAGAAGAAGAAATATCTGCAATTAGCTATTATTATATACACCTTAACTTCTCCCATTTATCACTTTATCATCAATCCATGAATTATGCACATTTCTGGACACGAAAATACCAATGACGCATCATTGAGATAACAGAAAAATTCTGTATTGATTATGCAAAGATTAGAGAAAGCGAAATATTTCCATTTCTGAATAATGATAATCAAGATGGTTAAAAATACCGAGAAATTCTAAGAATTTGGAAATGAGTAAGTATACACAGAATGAATGGAAGTGCAAGAAAAGTCGTAAATGCTAAATGAGTGGCTAAATCTAAATTAATTTTTTTCCGTTTGCTACGAAAAAAATATTTTTGAGTTTGTCCTGAAATAATTTATTTATGCTCAATTTTTTTTCGTAAAAAATTTTTGCAAAACTATTTTGCACATTGGCACAGTTATGATACAATCAGTTTGAGTTATATGTTACGTGAAAGATTCACAATTTCAAATCTAAATCAAAACCATTATTTTCGGCAGGAAAATTAAATTTATGTAATTTAAGAATTTGAGCGAGCAAACTGATCGAACAACCAGTGTGCAATTCTAATTTGGTCTTTTCTAAAATTGGTAATTGTTAATCTGTTAAATAAATATGCGTCATAATCAATTTAGACAGAAAACTTATTGAGTAAAATAGTACATTTGAATTAGAGAGTTGATGTTTTTACGATTCCAATTTTGAACTATTAAATCAAAACTTCGTTATTTAATAAATCAGATATAACTTTTTTGATCAATCTTTGATCATACTATTTTTGTTAGCATAGTAATACTTCAAAAATTGGTATTTCTAATTTATTATTTTCATTCTTAATATTTGATAAATTAAATTTAAAGATTCTTTAAATTGTTTAAATCTCAAAGTTGAATATTCAAGAAGTATTCAGAAAGGAAACCAACCGTAATAAACTTGGGGAAAAGGCATAGAAGGCAGAATTTAATAAGAAAAAACCACATGATTGAAACTGCCGCCTGTGATAGCTCTCGGATATATATTATTTGCAGAGAATGGGAATATTTTTGCAAATGGATAGAAAGAGCTCGAGCGCTAGTTCATCTATTACATTATCATCTCCTCCTTCTTGCAAGCCGTAGGATTTTCTTTGGGAAAGCATACAATTTATCAGACAACATTTGCTAGCAACTTTTGAAATGGAACAACTGACGTTCACTTATCACACAAATGAAAATGAAAATCATTTCCAAGCTTTCTTCTCAATCATAATTTCTGCTCTTGAGAAAATTCTTTTCTAAAATTGTTCACAAAATTCTTTCTCCATCGCAAAATGTGAATGAGTAAATATGGATTGAAATCGTTGCTATCAAAATTTTGTGTAAATCGTCTTTTAGGTAGCGATTTAAAATTGACTAATGCAATAAGAGAATTTAATCGTCATCACTCATTATAATTGTATCCTAGAAAAATGTTTCTTCATTCCAGTAATATGAAAACTGAGAACTTATATATATATAAATAATTTATTTATGAATACTGTTACGCCCAATATTTATTAATCCATTTTGTTGAACATAAATATTACGGATAAAATTCATACAAATAAAATTAACTTCTGAGTCAAAGTTTAAATCCCGATTTCAACTGATGCAGTACAATTTATCAACAAGCATGACTTATATATTTCTTCTACTAATAAATAAAACTCAAATCGAAATGTTTATCATATAATATTTATTTTAATGAAAAGTTAATAATTCGGAAGCAGAAAAATTACCAATTTCAATGGTCATATCAATCATACCTAAAAAGACTTCAACTAAAAGAAAATATTTAAATCATTTTTAAGCGATGCAATGATGATGGCTGCTGATGTAACAAAATTCAAATTTCTTCATAAAAAATAAATTGATTGAAATTTTCTTATTCAATTAAGAAAGAGGCAGTATTTATTAATGGGTTAAGAGTTTAGAGCAGTAAAAGATATAAGTGTTAAAGTATGCCATATATGAATGCTCAAGACAACATTAAATTCATTTATCTGATTATCATTTCGCTGTTGTAATAATTTTCTTTCTAATACTCTAAGACTTCAATTATATCAAAAAATTTTTCTTTTAAATTGTCATATTTTGAGATAAATTTATCCAAATACAATGTTTTCGGAATAATGTTTGAGAATATTTTTCCAAATATCATTCGCTAGGATTGGAAACTCTGAAAAAGGAAATACTATAAGACACGAAGATGTAATAATAAATTTGAATTAAGAAATCATTTTTTTAATGTATCGGAAAATTATTCATAAATATCTACTACATATTAGGTTATTAGGTTAAATAAGCATGAAATAGCTTCTCAGAACCTTGCTTTTGCCTATTCATGCGGATATTGTAGAGATTCATACAGGATGTTACGAAAGCTTTAGCATCATGAGCTTTTTCTGATTGACTAGTTACAAAGTCGATTATTGAAGTGATTTTCTTTTCGATCTTCTTGGCAGGCAATTCACTTTGTAACTCATGTACTTTCTCCTCACCGTCAATCATTTTTAATAATTCATGACAGCTTTCCAATAGTGAATTTGTCGCATATTTCTTCGTTTCACTGCTTGCATTTTCAAAAAATTCAAAAATTTTAGATTGAATTTCTTCACGACTTTTTCCTGCAACCAAATATGAGCAACACAGCATAATAAATATTAATTTTAAATTTCTTAGAATTATAACTCGGCAGTTAAAAAGCTAGAAGAGACCATATAAAAAATTATATGATGAAAAGACCATATAAAAAGCAGAAAAAATTTAGTATGCAAGAAGAATAGAAATAATTTAGTATGCAAGGATTTTCATCTAGTTTATTAATTATCTGTGAAATCTAATTTTTTGTTATAATTTGTTATAAATGACTCCATTAGAAATGAAACGAGACAGAAACAAACCGTCCGTTTTCATTTTCTTGATTTCATCCTTTTGCATTTCAGAAAGCCATTTCAAATGAATATGAAAAAAATCCGCTGGTGAATGTTCATGATGTTTATGTTGATAATCAAAAATTTTTTGGCAAATTGGGCCATATTCTCGTGCTTTTGCTCTCTTGTCCTCATCCTGAATTTCATTAATCATTCCATCCATCTTGCGTCTAATTTCATCGGTAATGCCAACCGATTCTATTACTTTCTGCAGTTCTGCTGCATTCTCATCACCAAAAATTTTCACAATCATATCGTGACATGCACCATTAATGAATTCAGCTATTTCCTTCGCTTCCTCATTTAAATCTTCGTAGAAATGCAATATTTTTCTTTGAATATCTGTTTTTGAATTGTTTTCCTCCTTTATCTTTAACACCTTATCCTTCTGTTTCTCCGTAAGCCATTTCAGATCCGTTTTGAAGTGCTCCTCTAATGAACGTTCACGATTTACCCTTGCAAATATTTTCCTACATAAAGAGCCATAAGTTTTAATTTTTTCTTCCTTTTCCTTATCTACTATTTCACTAAACATTGAATCAGCAATTGCTTTTAGATCATTCACATTTGCGCCCGAATCCTTCATTCTTGCTAGTTCGTTGTACCGGTCCCCACCAAAAACATCTTTTAAAATTTGTCGACAGCCGTCAAACAACAGTTCAGTGACGCGCTGCTTTGCTTCTCCGAATAATTCATCGTAATAACGAAACACTTTAGCAACCATGTCAGCCTTAGATTTACCATTTTCCTTCATTTTTCTCAGTTCTTCCTTCTGCTCCACTGAAAGCCATTTTAAATTATTCTGAAAATAATTATCTAAAGCCTGGTCGTTGTATTCGCGAATTGTTTTTCTAAATTGTCCTGAGTCAAAGATTCTGTGACAGGCAGTTTGATATGTTCTGATTTGTATGAACTTCGATTTATCCGTAGCAGCCGACAACATTTTCATTAATTCACTTATTGAAGAGCCATCGTCTTCCAATGCCTGCAATTCAAGTAATCGATTTTCGTCGACCAAACCCCGGAAAACATCTTCACAAACTAATCTCAGGCTCTCTGCAGCTCTTTCCTTTTCTTCCTCACGAAGATTCTGATAGTAAAAAAAGATCGCCTTCAGCATATCGATTTTTGATTTTTTTCCTCCTATTATTTCGAGAATTACATTTTTCTCTTCGTCAGTAAACCATTGGAAGTTAGTATCGTCGTGATACTTTAAACTATCACTTATTTGATGTCGCCTATTTCGCATCAAAGGCGTTTCGAAGATTTTGCGGCAAGTAGGACCATATTCATGAATTTTTTTCTTTTTGGCTTCGTCAGTAACATGTCCCAACATATCATCGACTTTTGCTCTGAGTTCTTCCAGACCAACTCCTGAGTCCTTCATTTGTTTTAATTCAGCCATTTTTTCATCACCAACGATTTGCTTCAATAATTCACGACAACCTCCGCGAAGTTTCTCACTGGCTTCCTCTTTTGCATCACCCGTCAAATTTTCGTAGTAATCAAGAACTTTCTGTTGAATATCTGCTTTCGGTTTTCCTTCCTGTTTCATTTTTCTGATTTCATCTTTCTCAATATCTGTAAGCCAACTCAAATACGTCCGGAAATATCCCTCTA